TAGTAGTAGTAGTAGTAGTAGTAGTAGTAGTAGTAAAAAATTTAATCATACAGAGCCCTTTCTTAGTTTTTGATGAAGACAGTTGCCAACCAAGATCAGGGTTTCCACTAGGTTTTCTCCATGTTTGAACAAAGAGGGCCAACAAACAAGAGATTTTATCCCATGCAATATTCTCTTTGTTTCTCTATGTATAGTAGTAAATATTGGTGAGAAATCAAGAAAGAGAAACAAAAGAGGCAATATTGTCTTTCTCTTTCTCCTCCTTTGAACAATAAGAATGCCTCTTTTAAGGATAATATTGCCCAAATTATATTCTCTCTGTTTAAACAAGAACAAAGAGAAACAATGATAATATTGCCCACCAGACTATTCTTTACTTCTTGTGTTTCTCCTTATTGAATCAAGAATGGGAAACAAAGAGAAACAAGAACAAGAAGGAGAGGCAATATTCTCTTTGTTTCTCTTTGTTATAACAACAAGGACAATTAGAATGGGCGATTTCCATTGTTGTTACAGAACAATGATTGCTAAATTTGATAGACTGACAGACCAAAAATTTGGCACATCTAGTACCACTACTACTACTATAACAAAATTTAGCACATTTTGAATGGGTCAAAGACGTTGTTCAAAATGTGCTAACGGGAAAGCAATCAACCAATATTTCCTTTTAAACGAAGAGAAACAATTCTCTTTGTAACTCCTTGTTTCAAGGGGTCTACGGGAAACAATTTGATTTTGAAAAAAATACTACTAGTAAATACGGTACCGTAGGGCCAAGGAATACGTTGAACATTGACCCCAACTCCCACGACTTCGGTTCGGGAGTCATAACCTACTAGCGCTCTATGTAGAAGAATACGTAACGTTATTAATACAATCCCCGTACCGGTATTCTGATTGGTGGAAGGCGTAAGAAAGAAAGGCAGCAAAGGTTTGATCGTAGGTACGACATAGGTTGTAGTTTTTGGCCATTCCGTATCAAGTGTTCTGTGTTTTTGAAAACAAAAGATTGTTTTGAGGGTAAACATCTTCCTGATAAAATACTGTAAGTACTCGTACGCTAGGTACTTGTACGGTTAAATCCATACTGATTTGATGAGAATCTATGCAGAATGCCATCAGAAAACAGATGCGACTGACGGGGTACGACTAGGTACAGTTCTGCTTGTGCGTACGTAAACGTACCGGTACGAAACCTACTGTACGTCGTAATTGAAGTACAACGACGAGATTCTGCTTTCACTTTCCGGTTCTTCTCCCAGTTTCCCTTCACACCAAAAAATCTGTCCTAGTCCTACCCCAAAGAATACCGTACGTGTAACTTTCCCAAAAACACAGACCATAACTGACTTCCGACATAAAATCAAATTTTCGCTAGCCATCACACTATTCTGAAACGTAAAACAAATTAAACATGCGATTCTCATTCCGAATATCAGTTTTGTTTTTGCTTCAAAAGCAATCCCTAGCATTCATCACTCCGCCTTGCCAGCATCAGTCGCCTGCCTCGTCGTTGTTTGTGTCTGCCTCAACAACGGACGAAATCGACCTGTCGTCGAACTATGGAGCCGACATGAACCAAGATGACATGATGGAATCGGACCTGCTCGTGATCGTTGATCAGAACGATAACGTCGTCGAACTTTCTAAAGATCAATCGGTTTCGAAAAAAGCTGCGCACACTTTTTCCAACGAACAACCGAGAGGCATTTTACACCGTGCCTTCAGTCTGTTTTGCTTCAACGAAGAAGGAAAATTGCTTTTGACCCAGAGGGCGGCCGACAAGATCACATTCCCCGGAGTTTGGACTAATACGGCCTGTTCACATCCTTTGATGGGTATGCCCTCTTCTGAAGTTGATATTTGGCCCAAGGCTTTTCCCGAGATGCCCGGTATCAAGCGAGCTGCCGCAAGGAAAGCGAAACACGAATTGGGACTCGACATTCAAGCGGATATACCAGATGTGCAATTCGTATCTCGTTTTCATTACTGGGCATCTGACGTAGAGACGCATGGATCTGAAACACCATGGGGAGAACATGAAGTGGACTATATCCTCTTTTTGAAATCTCCCGTAAAGGAATATACATTGAACATCAATCCCGAAGAAGTTGCAGATGTCAAGTACGTTACAATTTCGGAGCTCAAAGACATGATTTACAACCAACCTGACCTTACATGGTCTCCTTGGTTCATTGGTATCATGGAACGAGGTGGCTTTGACTGGTGGGAAGATCTTGAAAATACGTTGCAAGGGAAAAACACAAACGAAGATATCACATTCTTTGATCCTCTTCCCAACCATTTTGCGACGTACAACACTCCTGAACATACACGCGAATCGACTGGAGTTTGGAAAAATGAATGATAGACTTTTCAAATTCCGAGGGAGCCCGCCAATGGAGTGGAGATGAAAGGCGTCCTGAATTTCTGTGGGTTCGATCGCTCACTTGAATCATTTCGAATCTTGCAGGATTGCAACGAAAAGCAGGATGAGTCAACGACTTCTTTGAAAGGAATGGACAATTTCTACTGGAATCTATAGCTCCGTCGGCGCGGAAATGTTAGAGTAGTAATTATTTTTGCTGATATAAGAACGGCATCATTTATTATAAAATAAAACTGAATCGACTAGAGCTTTTTCTCAGGTTTGGCACGATGTGTCGAATTGTGCCCTATCGACCCATCTGCGTTTGCAGCCTACCGTCCTAGTTCCTTACCAAACTACAAGAAGCTTATCAGGTGGTTCAACGATTCTCAAAACGACGAAAACTTCGGAGAGACGCTTCAAAACTTCGAAGAGGCTCTTCGTTTCTTCGGGAGAAGAAAACGTTCATCTGTTCTTGATGATTTTTCAACCGTCGTTTCCTGATCATTTACTTGTATCCTGTGGTGACGTGAACGAAGATCCAATGCGAACATTATTTTCATTGCCTTAAGTGAGAAAGTGGTGAAGTGGAACGTTTGTTCTCCCCTTTGTTGATAAAACTGATGCGGAAGATACCTACCGTGTGGAACACGACGATTTTATTTTGAACTCCTTAAGTATTCTTTTATTTTTCTGTAAATTACAATTAGCAAATTCGTAGTCGAGGCAGATTGCATTACTTAACGAGTTCTTTCTTTCGTGGTGAGCGATATTTTTTGGGATCATTCCTGTCCACGATATCTCAGAGATAAAAGAATGAAGAGAATGAATTCTGAAGAATCAATTCGTTTGCGTTATTCAGATTGCCAATTTCTGATCACTTAAGCAAACCGCACTGAACACATCTGCAAACTCGGTCAGAAGGATTGAAACTTGAACAGTTACTGCTTACGTGTTTCCATTTTGATATCTTTTATTCGCAATTTTTGAGATCGCTCCGAACATCATCGAACACTTCCTCCTATCATCTTCCTAGGAGTTTCGAGAGGTTGTTGTCGGGCATTACGCATAGCGCCGTTCTTGGTCTTCTGTCGTACACCCTACAAAACTATGGTATGTCTCGGAAATTCCGAGAACCTGACCATTTCAAATTCAGTCAAGCTAGGAGGGTCGCTCCCTAAAATCGGGAGACCCTAATTCTTACCACTCCTCAGCTCTCATTGCGTCCAGTGTATGATGCAAAGCCGTGATGCAGCAGTAATATTAGTACTACTAGTATTTCTTGTATTTCTTGAAGAGCACCATCGTGGTGCCTGATTCACCAATCCAAGAGTGGGTGCTTCATCTGATGGAAAAGATAGTGTAGTACTAGTATTTGCAATACTATTACTACTAGTGCCGCCCCTCAGAGCAGCTAGAAGCATATTTTCCACCAAAAGCTATGGTTCTGGCCATATAGCGCCTCTTCTAGTTCACAAGGTTAAAAATAATATTAAGATTTTTAGTACAATAACAAGATAGTACCTACTAGTACTAGTAATGAGTTATTGGAGGCTCCTACTAGTATATGATGTAGTACTACTAGTAGTGGATACTACAATTACTAGTACAAGAATTACTATTGAATCTATACCTGCTGTATAAACAAAAAGAAATAGTACTAGTAGTAGTAATATTATATTCCAAGGACCAGGACAGGACCACACAGTGGTCTATACATGTATGGTCTTGCAGTCCTGGTGTAATAACAATAACAACCCTAATTTTGTAAAAAAACACTGGTTCTTATTTTTGGGTTATTTTTGTTTCGTGACATCATGGTTGCATTCTTTAATATCTCCAATCAGATCAGTTTCTTGCTTCCACAACAAAAATTATGCACCCCCCCTCCACACACACCATATCAGCAAAAGAAGCAGCAACTGCTGGACCAAATATTATGACTGTGTCACAGTGTTGTCATGGGAAAAACTCCAGTTACGCCAACTGCAACATCTGCCCAAGAAACCAATATTGCAAGAAGCACCAATTGAAGTGGAAAATACAACAGGAAATCCTCTTGATACTCTGACTGACCTATTTGATTCCTTTACTGAGAATCTGCCAAGACAACAGCAGCAGCAACAGATAAATGATCCAGCACTGGCACAGGCAGAACAGGAAGATGATTCTTCTCTGTCTGCCACAATGGCCTTTCAGCATTCAACAATCCTAACAATGGATAATACGCAAGTCAATCATGGAATAGAATCTGAGACAAATCTTGACAAGCATGGGAGAAGAATGAAGAACACACCTAAATCCTATGAAGCAAAGAAAGAAAAATTCCGGCTTTTTTGTGACATCATCTATAATGGAATGAGAATTGAAAAAAATACTACATTGTTGACCAAGACGAGGTAAAACAATTTACTCTCTATGTTGCCTTCCAGGACAGTAATCGTGACAACTGCTGGGGTCTAAATGTATAGGAGACACAGTATTTCACAAAGATTCCTTTAGCAATTATCCGTAGCGAGGCACATCTGAAGAGGCATATCAATTGGAATCCAAGAATAGGCTCTCTTTACCTCAAGACCTTGTTACCAATGCAACAGGCAAGGGAAAAGATTGATACAAATAAAGTAAATAACACTTCTTGTGCAATGGCACAATGTTTCCTCCTGTTCTTGAGTGACCTTGCACAAGTTTTCAACCAAGACACAACAGCTCCTCTTGCGGTTAAATACCCTGACTGGTGTATTATTCATCCAAGAATATACCAGCTCAATTCTTTTCATAATTATAAATTCAGGAAGTAGGTGGAAGAAATGAGGTTAGATCTGCTTCTCAATTATGGGATGTTTGGTTTGGCACTGGGAAGTACAAAGATGTTTGGTGGTGTCAATGCCCTGGAACGTAAACACTCTAGCACTTCAAGAAGGGGCTATCCCAAATGTGACACCACACAAATGTTCTCCTGCTACAACAAGCTTGCAATTGCCTACACAAAAAGAGGAAGCAAAGGCAATTGAAAACAAGCATTTTTTAAATCAATGGACAAGTTGTTCTGAGAGTCAAAAACATGTGCAATAACTCCTTTTGAAAGGAAGTTGAGCACAAGACAGAAGAAGCAGAAGGCAGAAGCTACTGCACTAGCAGAGACTTGATAATTCCACTCATTTAAACTGCACACTGCACCGCACCATGGACAAACTGCAAACCATACTACCACACTGTTCACAAACTGCACTAAAACCGCAAACCACAAACCACAAACCACACCATGCACAAACTGCAAACCACACTGCGCACAAACTTCTTTAAACAACAACACTGTGGTGCATAAACTTGAAGGCACTGCTTACAGAACCACCAGATTGCAGCGCCTCCAGTTTTTAGTAGCAGATAAGCAGATGATTCCTTGTACAACCAAAATAATATTTGATGAACTTACCAATGAGGAGAGCAAGAGCTTTGTGACAGTACCCTGGACTTGGTCTACTCCTCCTGGTAGCGTGCTGCTCTGGTTATTGAGATATTGCAGTTCCTCCAATGGTCAATGTGAGGGTTTGAGATGTCATTGGTTCTGTTTCTGAAGTTTCACCATTTAATAACAATGTGAGTGTGATGTGTGGTTGTGAGAAATGTGTCACAACATATGTCACACTAATACTACTAACAAGAAAATGCGTCACTTTGTTGGGTTATGCTATTCTTTGTTAAGGAGGTGTGGTCCAGGACCAAATGGTACTACTACTCTACTACATGCAGAACTTGGTCCTGGTTCTACAGCGATATGATAATTAATATTATTTCTACTGGCTAAAAAAATAATACTTCTTTTAAGGTAATTTCACTGATAAAATTGCAATTTTTGACAATCCCCCTTTTTGTAGGGGACAAAAATGCTTCCCCCCTTAACTCCGTCGTCCCATGGCACTCCAAACCCGCACAGTATTCGTGCTTCATAGTTTTTTATGTACAAGTAAAATATTTGGATGGATGCATAGTAGGCGCGGGATGGAGCGGCAGGGATACTCGCAGTTCGTACCCATACTCTAGATGTATCCTACGTACAGTAGTACGACTTCGACAAGACTGAGTTTGATTACGTACTGACTTGACGTACGGACCGTAATAGCCACATCTCCTAATGATAAAAGCCAAACAAGGCAAGAACTCGAACTCGTGGCCCGTACTGTTCTTACAGTAACTCGTATGATTGAAACGCCCGTACCGTACGATACCGTACCATAATAGTACACTGGTGAGTGTTTGCATTTTGCAGCCGCACCATCCGGTCTGGTACAATCGAAATTCGGGACCTGTGAAACCTGTAACGACGAATCGCGGGCTCCTTTCTATCCAACATCAAGATACGGCCATCCATATCCGCTATCGAATCATCAGAGGAAGCCAGTAATAAAATCAAACAAGTGTACATAGTAGTGTAGACCAGTATTACAGACTAGAAGGGGACGTCGAGAGGGGGATTCTGAAAAACAACGGGGACAATACAATACGAAAATCTGCCACCACACCCAGCAACTCCGCCATGTCGACCGGCACGGGGTTGTCTGGCACTCCGGCCTTTTCGGCGTCGCCGGGGCCATATTCTTCCCTCGAAAGCAACAATGATAGTGGACGAAGCCGAATGAACTGGGAACCCGTACGGAGTCGTTTGACAGGCAACGATCTAGACGATGCTCTGAAAGCCGCCAGAGAACTCCGGGAAGGAATCGAAATCGTCCACACGGTGGAATTCCCTCTCATGCTGTCGGCCTTGCTTCCGGCCTTTTCGACGATCCTGGCTACCAACCCCAACCAACAAACCAGCGCAAAGGAGTCCATGAAAGGCAACAACAGCATCAACCCCGCGGCAAAACGAGCAGCGGGAATCCCCTCTGCGAAAAAGGAACCATCGCCCGGACCAGCCGCCGAAGCAAAGCGCCCCGATGAAACGACGCCCTCGTCGCCGCCGAAGCAGCACGACATCGAATTCCAGCGGCGGCAACAGCACCGCCACTACCAACTGCGGAACACGATTCTGGAAATCATCAGCCGGATGCCCAGCAACGAGGTCCTCCGGCCCCACGCACCCCACTTGGTGGCGGTTGCCCTCGACGTGCTCATCCACCGCCGGGACTACGAAGAAAACGCGCTGCTGGCGTCCCGGATCATCTTCGATTTGTACAAGGCGTACAAAAGCCTGCCACAGGACTACATCCAGCCAGCTTTGGATTTTGTGGTCTCGGCCTACAAGGCCCTTCCGTTGGCGGTAAGTTTCGATGGAACTAATACGCAGCGACAATCGTTTGATCGTCTGTGTATGATTCAAGAGTTGCGGATCAAACGCGATGTAGCTTCCGACGAGAGAATACATTGCTGGAGCGAAGATCTATTTGAACGTATTGCGGTTCGGTTGCATTAATCGTAGTGAATCGTCGTACCCTTGCCGTGCTGTTCACCAACCAAATACATTGTATCCCTGGATATTTTTGTCTCGTTCTAATTTGCGATGTACAGGTTCAACGAAGCTTCTCGTTCGAGGTGCTCTCCGCTACCAGCTCTAACATGGACTCAAAAGTCCCCACGGCGGTCATTGCCACTCCTCCGGGGGACAAGAAACGCAAGTCGCCCCCGGGAGCTCTTTCCGGTTCACAAAACCCACAAAAAAGCATCAAACAGACGGATTCGACAACGATGGACACGACAGACTCGAACGCAAGAATCCAACCCACCGGAGCCCGCCCATTGATGATGGAATCGGCGAGTGTTACCGACACCAGGATGGCAATATCGTCTTTTCATGAGGTTTCTCTGTCTCCGCGATCCAATTCGTCGTTCAGGGTCCTCACCGAATGGCCACTGATCGTCATGCTAATGTTTCAGTTGTATCCCAAGTTTTTGAAGGCAAACATCCCAATCCTAATCAAAGTGATGACCGAGGCTCTTGGGCTCCGCGCACCATCTATTGAATTGATTGAACAACAACAAAAACAGTTGCAGCAACTCACATCCGCCGGTGCTAGTTCTGAGCAGCAACCACAATCGGGCCTGGGGGAAACTGCTAGGCGCCTCTACTCCTCTAAGAGCAGGGAATTGGTTGCGGCCCAGGCCAAGACGCTTTCTTTTCTCACGTTTCTCCTCCGGCGTTTTGTCAACGAGTTGAAACCATACGAGGATCGCTTGGCCAGCAACGTGGTTGCTATCATGTCGATTTGCCCGAGAGAGCTGCTCAGCACCCGGAAGGAGCTCCTGGTAGGCACCCGCTACTTGCTGCACAGCGATCACTTCAAGAACGGCTTCTTTCGCCACGTTGATTCTCTCCTCGATGAAAAGATTTTAATCGGTTGGTCGTCGAAGCACCAGCACCGCCACCGCTACCTCTGTGACCACAACTCGGAGCAAACGGTCCTGAGACCTCTTGGCTACGCCGTTCTGTCCGAGCTAGTGCACAACGCTCGCAACACAAAGGTGCTCAGCTTGATGCAAATATCCAAGATCGTAACCATATTTTCTCGGGTGCTCCACGATTCCACCCTCCCGATGTCCACGCAGTATACCGGTGTCAAAACGCTGCTGAGTGTCCTCGATCGCATATATTCCAATACCGATCGGAATCCGCAGCTGGGTCGGGATCTATTGGTACGGATTTTGCGGACCTTCATGGAGAAACTGTCTAGTCTTCGCAATGCGAGCGATACAGAGGCCAAAGCTACAGCTAGCAGTAGTAACAAGGACCCTGGGAGTGATGAATCACAATATTCACCGGGACGTAACGAGACGGGTTCTGGCGGCAAAAAGACGAGCAGCGAAAGTGCGAATGACGAGCATAACAGAGAGCATTCCTATTCCACGGAACCGAAAAATGAGCCACTTAAAGACAAAAAATCCATGGTACGAATCATCGTTGTTGGGTCGAAGACTCTTATTTGGTATATAAACAACTATCGGAAGCAACGAGAAAAGGAACGAATCGAAAACAGGCACCCACCCGCTGGGGTCAACAACGAAGAAGTTTACTCTGGTTTGTCAAAGATCACACATTCGGAGCATGCCCTGATCGACCAGTACATTGTTTTAGGGTTTCCATGTATAAAAATTCTCAAAGAATCAAACCAAGGCGAATCGGGGTCAAGAACTGGTGCCCTTGCAGCGACCGGAGAGAGACAAGCTACGGAACAGTTCAGAGACACCCTAACATACTTTGCAGCAGCCTTTACCACTCTGGATGGACATGATTTGAGACGAACAATGGGGAGACGACTGGATGTGCTAGTGGAGGCCGTAAAGGACGATCCCACTGCGATCATTGTTCCTAGACATTTGCTGAGCGCCAACGCCACAACAAGTTTTGAATTCTGTAGCATGATGCTGAATTTCTTGGTCGAGCGAATGGACAACCTTGTTCTCGAAAAAAACGAGAATATTTGCTTTCTCTCAGTTCCGTCCGAGAACGAAACCGATCGATTGCATGTTTTCGAAGAGTTAATGAAAGAAAAAGCCAAGATCAAAAGAGAAGACATGGAAAAAACCTCAAACTCCTACCTCCAGCTCTTTGAGCGCATTCTGAAGTCGTTGTCCTCTTATCCCGAGAACGAGCGCGCGTTGCGCCCATACCTGAAAGAAATCGTCTCAACATGCTTACGCTCCTCTCTAGAAAAGACAGACGTCAAGGCCGACAACTATTGCATGCTGCTGCGTTATGTGTTCAGGTCGATTTCCGCTGGAAAATTTGAGGACTCGTACCGTGAACTTTTGCCCTTGATTCCAGCTGTCTTGAATGGGTTGTTCCGAGTCTTGTTGAGCACCGAGGATATCACCCTCCGGCATACCTTGATTGAGCTTGTTCTGACGATCCCAGCAAGGTTGTCCTCTCTCTTACCTCACATGAATTTGCTTTTGAGGATAATTATCTTAGCCTTGAAATCCAACTCGGACGATTTGGTGAATCTTGGGTGCGTCACTTACTGCTTCACTCAACGTAATGTTTGAAATCTTTGTCATATTTTCTAACAGTCCTGCATTCATATTTCTTCAAATCTTCGCAGATTACGAACACTGGAATTTTGGGTCGATAACTTAAATCCTGAGTTTTTATTCCCGGAACTCTCAAAGCAAAAAGCGGTTTTCGTTTCATTAATGAAAGCGTTATCTATACATCTGAGACCGGCTCCGTATCCGTATGGATTGCTAACTCTTCGTCTTTTGGGAAAGCTTGGAGGGAAGAATAGACGAGTCTTGCGCGAACCAATAGACATCATAGACTCAAAGGCTATTATGGAAAACTCGGTAGGAAAATTAAGTTTGGGATTCACTTGGTCTGCCAATACGAGTCAAATGGGCGAGGAATCTAATGGAACAGAAGGGCTTTCGAGTGAATCAGTCTTCGAAATTCATTTACCTATTAAGAGGTGTCTTGAACTTTTGAAACGAGTGTCTACTGTCAATTTGTTTGGGTCGGAGGTAGCATTGCCAGGGGAGGGAAGTTCTCTGGTAAAAATAGAAGAGAATTCTGATGACGAAGGGCTGGAACAGCAGGGTATCACAGTATTATTATCAACAGACGTTTGTGATATTGACCTCCTTCGTTATTGTAAGGCCGTCACTGAGAAAACAACGATGAGCCAAGTGAAGGCCGCAATCCAAGTGCTTAAGAGCTCTCTAACGAGAATAATTGACGTACCGAATAGTAGCCTCAAAAATATTCATATGACGGGAGCAGGTAACTTAGACAACACTGAGGGTCATACTGAAGGGGGCATTTTTGATATGCAAGCCATTGCTACTCGTTTGGCGAATTACAACAATGAATTCCACACTATTGTCATGGGTTTAATGTTCGGTTGTTCATTTTTGCCCACAAGGGAGAAAGAGCTATGTTTTATGAAGGGATTGCTCACGTCAATTTACGTCACAATTACTAGCAATCAGGGCAGTATTATACGCGTGGATGCGAATGGATCATCGATACATCAACCAAAGAATGATACTGAAACAAAAAGTGAATTCGGCGATGATGGCTTGGGTTCATTGAAACCATTTGGATATTTTGAGTTGAACGGGCCCCTTAAGTATACAACTGACCCGCTTACAATTAATCGATCACTGGCAGAATTTCTAACACAACCATCCCCGGCACTCATCTCGGTAGGAATGAACATACTGGATCATGTGCTCAGGCTTCCAGTATCTTTTAAGAATACTAATACAGATGAAAAGTCGAAGTCGGGTGAATTGGACAGAGGCTCGATGATTTTTTTCGAAAGTTTGTTAAGTGCATTGTGCGGTCGATGCGTATCTTCGGATTGGAGTGAACGGTGCGGTTTATACAAAGGGATAATTCTGATGGTTGAAGTTCTTGGGCAATCTTGGGCAAAGAAATACGAGATAGAAATTATGAATGTAGCTTTATATTCAGTGAAGAGTGTACCGGCAGAGATGTCCATCGCAGGGGTAAAGAGCTTTGAGTTTTTGGTTAAACTCTGCTCTACTCTCTACGGCAAGCCATACATAAACGAAAATCAAGACGATAAGATACCATTTATTGTTGACATGCTCTCTCTTCTGAGAAGAAGAGATGAGAAGGCCACGGAGCCTCGAACTAGTATCACAACTCCGTGCGATGATGTCTTGCAGATACTCATAAATGAAATGGCCTCAACAATTCCATTGATGCGGTAAGTATTTTCCGTTGGTTTATACTGTCTAAACTCAATTTTTTTGTTTTCTAATTCTGTTTGTGGTTATGAACTGCTAGTTTTGCTGCCCGATTTGTTTTTGAGCAATATTTCCTGAATGCGAAGACAGCAGCTGATGCAAAATCTGTACTAGGGAAGCACATAACTCTTATTCGAAGGGTTTTATTTTCTCGGTCTCTACGTCTACTTCCACTGCAAGAGCAAGTAGGTGCCGTGGAAGCACTTAACGTGCTTGTTGATCAGGTGCCACATTTAATTCCATTGGAGGATCAACCTCTTCTGGCGTTTCTGTCGGAACTTTTAAAAATGTCATCGGTGGCTGATGGTGAAATGACCGACAACAATCTGATTGGTAGTGTTGTGGACAAAAACGGTTTTGTTTTACCTGGTGCAGATCAGAGATATCGCGCTAAAAATAATGACATGAATGATACTCATCCATCCCTACGCCCATCATCCCTTTTTCTTAGAAGGGATTGCATTCTTTCAACTGATTGTCACAAGATACTCATCGGGGAGGAGCTACCGCATGGGGTACAACTTCGTGTCTCCTCTATTCAATTGCTTCGATCAATAATTCGTGGCCATCCAGACAATTTTTTCAATGCGGAGTCTTCGACACCAGTTGGTAAGTCAGCAAACAGTGAAGAGAACAACAATGAAGGACAAAATTGGGATAATGAAGTGAATCTAATATCTATCTTTCTTTCACGCAGGAAATATTCGACCACATATTATAAGCCTATTATTTCGATCACTTGTGTCCCAACCAGTCCAGGCAGTAATTGCTTCTCATGATGCGTTAAGAGATGTATTGAGGCTAAGCGTCGTGACTACAGACGGCCCCGAAGGCTCAAGGTCCAAATCCCGTCTCAGAAAAGAGCTACTTCAGACTTGTATACGACCTGTCCTTTTGAATCTAAGAGACTATACCCGCCTGTCGACATGCCTGCTCAGAGGTCTGTCGCAGCTGCTTTCACTGCTCTCTTCGTGGTTCAACAAGACCCTAGGCGAAAAATTGATCGATCACTTACAAAAATGGACTAATCCAAGTGTAATAAGATCGCATAAAATATGGAAAGAAGGCGAAGAACCGGATGTCGCAGCTGCTATCGTTGGTCTTTTTGCACTTCTTCCCCACGCTTCAAATTTTGTTGACCCTATTGTGAAGTTAACATTAAAACTTGAAGCGTGTCTTCCGGCATACAAGTCGCGCCATGTTCGTTCACCTTACAGAAAGCAGCTTGCCCTATATCTGAACAAATACAGTCAATATACAGCAAACTTTTTCCTGCCGCGTCTGAAAACGCCTCTTTACACCGAACTGTTTCAGGATATCGTCAATTTTCAGGGCTCTTCGCAACTCCGGCAATACCTTAGCGCCAAGTGCTCTGATTCGATCCTGAACGTTTCATTTAAATGCCCTCTAGCAATCATTCGCTCCGAGAAAGCGTCGGTCACCAGTGCCTCTCCAACTAAATCCCTAAAAAGCGATACGTCTTTGTCCCTTTACGGTATCCATTCTTATTCTACGCTGCAACAACAAGAGGCAATGCGAGATCTCGCTATGAAAAAGAAGACATTTCAGTACCTACATCAAGAGTATACGAAGGCGAGAACAGCCGCAAGTGCCAAAAATGCACCACCAGAAGCCAAGGTAGCCTTCGAAGAGACAACAAAGAAACTCAAGACCGCCAAGGTTTCGCTTGAAAGAGTAACACGAGAAGTGACTGAGATTGAGAAACGACGTAAAGCTGAAAAAGAACAGATGGGTCAAGAATCTCCTTCTAGTGATCTTAAAGGTGCAACCCCGATGACAATCGATTCTCTAGAACTACAATTTCAAGGTTTTAATCTGATTGAAACACTTGTGAAATACGATCATAGCTATTTGAAGCACCACAACGATGTTCTGCGAGCATTGAGATGGCTGTGGAGAAGCAAAGGCAGGTATCTGAGAATGCAGCACGAAGAATCGATATGCCCAAGGTATCAAGGAGAATCGAAGGCCTTGGCATCATTCCTTCTAAGCTATTACAAAGATTCTCCGAATGATGTGGACCTTCTTTTCGAGCTCATTCGCATCTTTTTACAGCCTACAAGTGGGGACTTCTCATTTGTGAGATCATTTTTGCAAGAGATTTCGTCAGGACTTGGAGAAGTACAAAAGGATCAAATTATGCAGCGCTTTTTCTCTCTAATGGCAGGAGAGAGTACAGAAGAAATAAAACTGCTGTCTCTGCAACTTGTGGTCCACCCGATGCTGCATTCCTCCTTTCACGCAAAAGATGAAGCGAATAATAAAACTTCAGGATTCAATGAAGATGGATCATCGGGAGATCGTGTGATATCAGAGAAAAACGTAGATACATGCCCAGAAGGTCGAGAGTCTATTCGCTTCCTCAATCCATCTATTGTTCAAAAGTTTGTTTCGGATGTGCTATTTCACAATGGGAGTGTCAATCCTTGCGGAGAACGACTTAAAGTAGGCATATTGCAGATTTGTGATCTCTTTCTCGAATTCATTCCAAATATGATTGGTGAACGAAGGATTGACTTACTAAATTTCTGCCTGTCACTTCTGAAAAGTGACGATCCCTCCTGCAAGAATTGGTCGTATCTTGTTCTTTGTCGATACATCAGTGTTATTGATACTCAGCAGAGCGTTATTCTTCAGGTGTATTATGCTCTCTTGCGTGCTCATCAACACGAAGGGAAAGATCTGGTGAAAGCAGGACTTAACCTCTTAGTGTCTGCGTTACCGAAAAGACTGGACAGTGCAGCTTTCAAAAGTGCAATCGACAAAACATATAGAGTGATGTTCGAGGAAGGAAACTCTGTTCCTCAGCTTTCTCATGTCTGGTACATTGTTGTAAATAACCCTGACATCTTCGTGCATAGACGTTGTCAGCTTGTACGCTACATGATCAATTCGCTGAACCGTCTTGGACTACCACCGAATAGTTCATCAGAAAATCGAGTTCTAGCGATATCTATAATCGAGCTTGTTTTGGTTTGGGATGAAGAACAGAAGACGAAAGCATGTAATCATGTGGAACAGTCTCCCAATGCAATGGATATTGATCTAGTTATCTCTTCTGAAAAGTCCAGTCATTCTCAAGTGCAGTCATTGAATGTGAAAAAACAGACAAATTATAGCGCTTCTGACGATTCAATGCTCAATTTGGACAAATCAATGGTTGAGACGATTTTGAACTTTCTCATCCGACTGAAACTTGTTCTTGCAGATCCTAAAGTTGATACCTCTTCAGCTTGTATTGGTCCGAAACTCGATGTTTTACTTCGAAGAGCTACTCGTCGATGGAACGGTTCTGATATCCGACCAGCATACTTTGAAAAGGTTGTTTCGATGTGTAAAGAGGATGACGAATATTTCACTCAAGACAATAAGACAAAGGGCAAAGCGAAAGCTGCAAAGGACCCTGACAAGTCGAATTCCAAACCATCGAAACCTGATGACACAAAGAAATCAGTTACTGGTTTGTCTGATATTTTGACTGCGTGTCTTGAAATATTCTTGATGCTTGCGGAAGAAGACCCGTACAACTTCTTTTTGATTGAAAACCCAGATCAGTTAAAATGCATTTTGAGTACATGCTTCAGATACTCGAGGACTCCAACAGAAATTCGAATTCGAGAAAAACTTGAAACGTTCCTTGTCGCCTTCTTGTCTCTTGGGTCTCGCATGGATCAAAGAATTGTACAACCAATTACAGTGTGGATTGAAAAACTACTTACTGAAGCGGACATTGAATACCGCAAAAACCATGGCCAGGTTAATGAAACTCCACGTCAGGCTAGATTCCGCCATACAACGTACACAGAGGAGCTGCGTCCAGAAGACTGCGCTGTCTTGTTCGGCCTCGGGATCATCAAAAAGGTTGGAAGTGTTTCCCCATCTTTTCCGAAAACTTTCACCACCTCTTTGATTTCGCTCTTGAGCACTATCGTTAAGAAACACACTCACCAAGCAGCTGCAAAACAGAAACAAAACGGCGTTGCTTATAATGCACAGACTGGGACGATGAGCATTCGTGAGATGTACTCGACCCCTATTGCTGGTATTCTTCAACAAGTCTTCCCAGAAAACGTTCGGTCACCTGTTGCCGGCATCGCGAGGAGTTCTCAAGGGAGACAACACGATCTCTCTAAGGATTTAAAAGATTTCGATTGCATGCTTCAGGCTGCGGTTATCATTTTGGAGATTTTGGGTAATAGTGACGCAGCGTATTTGTTTTCAAATAACAGGAAGATACTATTAAATCTTCTGCAGTCCATCTTTTACATGAGCAACAATGTGCGGCTTCTCCTTTCTGCTATCCGGGTGGTAGGAAAATGGCTGGTTGCAGGAAGATCGGGGCCACTTACGACGAAGGAGCGGAACAGCTTTTTTTGGAAAATCTCCTCCTTTGATTTCAATGGTCTTTCCGATCCAATCTCCCAGCCTCTCTCCGATCTTGTTTGTCATTATATGAGTGTTTTGCTAACTAAGTCTGATACTTTTTCAGAAAATGGAAAGGACGATAATGGAGGCATGATTACGAGTCGTTCAATTACAGCTTGTTTGATGACAGCTGATGACAGTGCCAGGCAACGTATGCTATCTTTTTTCCAACGATCACGATGCCAAACAGGAGAAAAGGCGCGTCGACCTACAGATATACTTTGGCAGCTCTTCCATAGTGATTTCGAAGGATTAGGAGGAAGGCATTGGGTGGTGGTGTTTGTAGAGATGTTATTGGAATGTGTTGTTCCACTGTGCGAAATCAAAAATGTCGCTCCAGCAGGATGCGATTTCAGGGTGAAAAGAAGGTTGCCTAATCCTGTCACGGGATCTGAGTCCTCCAACCTCGATGTTGGTCTCTCAGTTGTGTCCACGTATGAAGCATTTCGGAGCTCAATGAAAAGAGAATGCTCGAATCTAGGGAAAGATGCAGGGTATTTCCTTGGTGCATTGCGCCGTTTGGCTCATGGAGATAGTTTTATGTGTCAATCTCTGATGCAGACGCTACTACCAGCATCTTGGAGGGATAGTCACGAAGGCTCAGTCAAATATCGCCTTGTGTCTGCAATGGAGTCTTTTTTGTCACGCCCTTTCCACTCGCAAACTTTCAAAAAAGAGACAAGCGAAACTCTGCTCCCCTCAAATGCCATCAAATCATTTCTTTCGAGCCTTGTCAACATGAACCCTTTGCCAACAATTGATGTTGATTTACTGGTCACGTTAGCTCAAAGCCACAACTCGTGGTATGAGGTTTTGTCCATACTGGAAAATCAGCATTTGGTTCTATCCCCTTCGAATCTATCTGAATCCGGATCAACCAGATGTGATAAAATACTTCTTGCTATAAGACACTGTTACCGGCAACTCGGGGAAAACAGTATTTGGTCAACATTGGCGCTGAAGTCATGTGCTCTCCCAGGAACAAGCTATGCTACATCGCTTGAGATTTATGGAAAAGTAGACAAGGCACTAGAGGCCTATTCCGGCCTCATTGATTTGGTTGAATCTGAAGGGTCTGCGAATGCTACATATTTCGAAATGGATTATTGGGAAGAAAGATGGGTCAACCTTCAGCAACAAGAGCAACAACTCGAGGTTGTATCTGAATATGCAACACAATCTAAGAACGAAGAAGTGATGCTTGAATGTGCTTGGCGAGAGAGAGATTGGGATAGTGTACGGGCTCTGTGTTCTGCTCCCCGTATCGTTGCAGCTGTCGAATCAGGGGATCCTGCGATGAAAATATGCGAAACGTTATCAGCTGTGGCCGATGGAAAGTTGGGGGACGTAGAAAATCTCCACGCTCAAAGTTCTCAACTAGCTTTATATAAATGGCAAAATCTTCCTACCTTTTCTGGGGGGAGTTGTGCACATGCGAAGCTGTTGCATTATTTCCATCGATTGGTTGAAATAAGAGAATCAGGTCAAATAATGGTCGAAACAAACAACCACTCTACTGGGAAAACGCTTCCCGATTTGAAGAACCTTCTGAAGTACGTGTTAGAATATGATTGCTTCGGTATTTTTCGTTTTAACTGTTTCTTTCAATACAAAACTAACATATTTTTAGCGCATGGAGACATCGGCTTCCAAACGACGAAGAAGAGCTAACGGTTTGGGATGAAATATTTACCTGGCGTGCACACATGTTCAACGCCATCACTTCAAACTTTCATTGGAGTGAACCGAGTACTCTGGCTACGCTTCATGATCGCCCTTGGACTGGTAAGTTCTTCAAAAATGGAACTCATTTTGAACGAACGACGCGTAGCTTCTCTGTGATCTTCTAACATGATTTATGCTGTTCCTAATTCAATTCGTCTTAAAGCTATTCGAATGTCAACAGTGGCTAGAAAGCACGGTATGCAGCAGGTAAGGTCATTTGCAATCGATTCATTAAGTGGATTCAAACTGAAGATATGGATCTCAATTCTCACATTTCGGTTGACCAAAATTTAGGCTGCTTTTCTCTTACTGAATCGAATTACAGATAGTAGAGCGATGGATGTTTCCGATGTTTACCTGAAACTCCGGGAGCAAATCCTACTGTATAATAATCCCAGGAGTGAGCTTGAGAGAACTGGTGGGTTGAATCTCATTAACACAACTAACCTTTCATATTTCGATTCACTACAGAAGAGCGAACTTTTTAGGTTAAAAGCTATCTTTTTGGCATCTCTACGCCGAACATCAAAATCTAACCAAGCCTACTGCCATTCAGTGCAGATCTGTCCAAGCCATACGAAGTCATGGATTAGTTGGGGTGGGCTTTGTTCTTCCTTAGGTACGATGACAGAGAAACAAGCTGAGCAAGCGCGTTCTAGTGGAGCCGACAATGCTCGTGATTCCAGAACTGATTCAACAAAGAAAGTGGCCCAATACCTGGCTCAGGCAATGGGTTGTTTTATCGAAGCAATTCAAATTGATCCAAACGAAAAATCTCGAATTCATCTTCCAAGGTGTCTCTGGATGTTAACCAAAGATGGTTCTTCGCCTGGCGTTTTATGTCAAACACTCGAGAATAGAGGAACAAAACTTCCACCTTGGGTGTGGCTCCCATGGATGCCTCAGTTGCTCACTGGGCTCTGCCGATTAGAAGGGAGAACGATAAGGGTTTTGCTTTCTCGTGTCATCAAAGCTTATCCACAAGCAGCTTATTACTCTCTCCGAGCCTTTTATCTAGAAAGGAGAGATGTTGAACGAGCGAAAGGGGGAAATGTTGCTCCTGGACAACACATGGCTTCTGTCGCTTATGCCGAAGAAATGATGAGCACTCTTCGCCGATCTCATGCATCCTTGTGGAGCTCTTTAGAGGCAATTCTCGAAGAGCTGATTGTCAAATTTCGACCATCTTACGAAGAAGAACTGTTGGCAACAATTTCTGCTCTTTTAGAGCGAGCTGAATCTCACGCCGAAAAGCAGTCTCTACCAGATGAAAAGCGTGCAGAGGACGAGGAAGCAATGGTAGCATCTTGGTCGAAAACTTTAAGTCGAATTGCTGCAAAATTCTTCCGAGAGACCGATTCGACCAGTTCATCAAGTAGACGCGACGAAAGGGTGAAAAAGACTGCAGATTTCAAACGGAAATATAAGGCAGACTTTGAACTAGACTTTAAGGTCACCACACCTGACAGAAAACAGGGAGCTACAACTAAGGCTTCGAAAGCGCAGTTTCGTCTTGCAGAATATATCACGAAGCTTCAAATCTGGAAGGAGAGGTTGGAGATCCAGGTTGCTCGAACACCGAGCTATCTACCATTAATTGAATCGTCTCATTCATTAGCGATATTCCATGGGAGTTTTCCAAATCTATGGCCCGGATCCTGTGATACTCGTTACTCTTATGGAAATGACCGAAGTTCGAAAGAGGATAGCCAGAGCAGTAGGACACCATCGTCAACTTCATCATCGGCTGCAACTGCACGGAAAGCATCACTTGGCGCTGCCCTAATGGCAGCAAATGCAGCTGCACGGGAAGGCGTTGGAGGCGAATACGGTGGCGGCTCTGCAGCGATTGAAATTCCGGGGCAGTATTGTCCGAACACTTCGATGTCTACTGATATCAAGCCATGTCCAGAATTGCACGCAAAATTAATCAAATTCGAACCTCATGTTGAAGTTTTGCGTCGCAATGACCAGCTGGTACGACGGTGCGGTATGATTGGTAGTGATGGGCGCACTTATAAATTTCTGCTTCAGTTTGCTATTCCTTACTGGACAAGAACCGATGAGCGGGCTGCCCAGATATCGTACGTTATTGAGAAGTTTTTGCGTCAGAATATCGTATCCGCAAGGAACTATATCAATATACAGCCAACTGCAGCTATACCTGTAGCACAGCGTTTACGAATGACCCCAGACCCCGACTGTCGAATTGCACTTGATGAAGTGTGGCGAACTTCCAAATACGAGACGAACGAGAAGAAATCAATTGCTAATTTCTTTTCGAAAGAATTGACCAAAAAACTGAAAGAAGCAATTTCCCATGATTCGTCTGGGGAAAGCAAGCGCAACATCGAGAAAGAAGTGCGATTGAAGGTTTACAATGAGATCTGCAAGTCAAAGGTAGACGATCGAATTCTGCTCCGTTATCTAATGAAGATTTTGGACAGTCAAGAACTGTTCTTTTTGCTGCGTCGCTCGTTTGCTGTGCAATTGGCGGCGAATTCCTTGCTTCAGTATGTTTTTTCTGTAGCTGAACGCACGCCTCAACGCTTTGTCTTTCTTCAGAGCAATGGCAAAATATTATCACCCGACTTCCGTATCTCATATTCAAATCAAGGATTTATTGAAGGCTTCAACCAGGTTCCTTTCCGTATGACTCCAAATATTCAAAGAGTTCTTGGTGAACATTATATCCAGGGTATCTTCGTTCGATCAATGGCAATGATAGCTGGTGCGGTTAAAGAACACAAGGATGAATTCGACCCAATCCTACGCCTGTTGATGAGAGATGATATATTGGCTTGGTACAGTAAATCGCTTGCAAAAACAGACTCCAAGACTCAGGAACTTGAGAGGCAGTTAATCGAAAGAGTTTCCAAAAACGTACACACTTTACAATCTCGCTTCTCGGAGTGTTCTCCTAAAGGAGGTGATGAAACATACGGGGACAGCAACAAAACAGCTCCTCTGGATCATCGAGTGAATGAACTGGTTCAGGCAGCGACCGATCCAGAAAAACTCTGCATGACTCGAATAGGTTATCAGGGGTGGCTCTAGATTATCATGTTAAATAAGCTTATGCTTGACTGTGGGCTCTGCTGTTACCTCTCAAAAATTAGTATCTCTTCAAATTTTTTTTTGGTCTCAAGACTTCATGAAAGTATGTAGGCCCTGCGTTTGCCAGCTATCTGCTTCACCAGAGGACAACAATATTCTACATGAATCTCAAACTTCAACTGAATATATCTCAGCAAGTACACTAGCTGTGTTTGTATAGAATAATAGTCCCCTCTTTGGTGAGGAAGATTTGCATTCAGGAATAGCCAGCACAAACAACAAGCAAAAAATGGAATGTGTGAGATAGAAATTTAAAAGTTGCTACTTAATTTTTAATGTAGTAATGTTATTGTTTATTGTTCTCTTCATTTTCTGTTGTAATTTGCAATACTATACTATGTGGATTTGTTCATGTGAGTATTGTATGTGGAGAGAAGTTTAAAGTTAGCCAAATTGCATTCACCATACAAAATCATTTGAGACAGCTAAAAAGAGAAACATACTGAGATGAGTATGAGACAGGTTTGTGAAAGACCCCACATTATGAAATTGAGGATGGAAAATGTGAGGATTTTGTGGAAAACACTTCTCCATGTATTTGTGGATACAACAGATGTGGTGGTAGCATGACCTTTTTGGTAGTCAAGCATTCCAATGATGATGGCTACCACCATGGCATGTTGACAAGAAGACATCACAAGCCAGAGATATTCATTTGTAGTATCAAGAAATGATGAAAAGCATGAGTTGTGTTGACTTAATATATATTTCAAACTCTACTACTAGTATTACCAGAGAAACACTATTCATCTCATATAGGATGCTTCATTTCTTATTCCACAAACCACTCTTTTGAAACTGTGACAGCCTAGTAGGTGGCAGTGAATAGTATTGGTCTTGTGGAAGCAATGGATCAAATGCAAGTCCTCAAAAATCAAAAATGGAATATGACTTGATTGTTGCACTGTTACAAACTGTTCATAGTACTAGTACAATTACTACTAGTCAGTAGCCTACTGGTAAGATGATATCACTGGAATTACTAGAATTTTAAAAGAAACAAAAAGGGGATTATTTTTGTGTAAGATTCATGGTGTGCAAGTTAGTAAAGTGTTTGTTACCTGATGTTGGTGTTACTGACATTTCCCTGCTGGTTACTAACACTGAGCCAAAAACATGTTGGTAAGCCACCACATTTTGAAATGCTCGTAGAGTAGTAGTGAGTGCTCATTGCTCAAATTTTAAAAAGTCAAACAAACAAGAGGAATTAGGTCTTGTTCTTGTAAAGGAAGAAGAGTCAATAAAAACTGACTTTCTTACACAGTTGGTATTTTTAAAAAGTATCCAGGGTTACCACAATTTTTTTGATAGTCATGATGCTGTTGCACAGACAGACAGAGCAATGAGCCACTACTACTACTAGTAGTATGATAGTAGCAGTAGTACTACAAAATGAATTGTCATGTGACCAAATTGAACCTAATGACATTCTTTCAAAAAGTGCTAATCAAAAAAAGTCTGAAGCAATGCTTCAAGTAATATTAGAGGAACTCTACTAGTGATCATCAGCAGGTACTCACTCTACTACTACAACAATAGATTGAAGTCAACACAGACAAATTAGGCAACAATGCAATGATTGAGAGAAAACTATGTTGTCTACATGGAAGACAATATGTCAAATCACTGTTGTATAACAAAGCAACAGTATGCTTTAAAAAAATCAAAGAAAATAGTATAGAATGGAAATTCCAAACAATTGCTGCTGTTGACGATGAATCAACAATTGTATTGTTTGAAAGTAAGAAATGTTTTCTATGGAAAGAAAACAAAAAACAAACATCTTGTTTCTATAGCAATACAAGAGGAAACACAAGGACTACATGGTGGTTGATAGTCTTTCTTTGAAAATAAAGTTACAAGAAGTTCTGTCTTTTGACGACTCCATTCAACAGGCAAGAGAGTTACATATTATTCTGGTGGTTCAAATACTAGTACTAGCTTTATAATCTCTAATGTTTCAGAGCCAACATTAGTAGATGAGATAATGAAGTGCACTACTACTAGTAGGCAAGTGCAGGAAAACATTATGTCTTTAAGAAGCTTCTACTAGTGGTGAATGCAATGTTGCAATGTTACAATACAAAAAAGGTGCCCATGCTTTGATGGAAGCTCTCAATTTAAGCCCTAAGTCAGATATTGTGTCTAGTACTACAGCAAGCTGTCTCCATAAAAATGGGCATCACCCAATTTCATTTCTACTATCATAAATTTGGATATATTGAACTTGGTGGAAAATTCGGGATTCAGTTTTGGAATGTACTTGTTGAGTTTTTGTTGAGGTATCCCAAATTTTGATAGTGATGCTGATTATTAAGAACTACTTTAATGACAATGGAAATGTGTGTCGCAATAACAATACTTCTAACCTGTGGGAGGGACTGTCCTAATAGTGATGTAAAATGTGTGCTAGTAGGAAAGTGAGTCGATGCTCTTATCGAGGATCGACAAACTATGGAATCTAGAATGGATCGCTGTGGGGATCGAGTGAGATGTGAATCGAATGAGTCAAGTCACTCACGCAAGTGAATGAGATGAGTCACGTCGATCATATGAATCCTAGGGGATCGCGTGAGTCATATATGTATGGTGTGTATGAATCGTAGATACTTATCGTATGTAAGAGTCGTATGTATGAATCATACCCACGGTCTGATATCCTACGGACAACACTTTGTTCCATTTGAGTATTTTAAAAAGGATCCAGAGGGAGATGGTAAATATTCATAAAAATTCTGAGAATTTTAAAATGGAAAATTGAAGCACTGTCACCAAAAACTGCTGGTGAGAAATGCTCAGAATTGTCAGTAGCAGTTTCATGCTGGTGGAAGGTCAAAAAATGATTTTGAACAACAAGTTACACAAAAACTTTTGAGAGGCAGGTACTGTTCTCAAACTCATCACAACGGGGTTAGTAGTCCTACTAGTAGTTCCTTCTTCTTTGGTGAGCTTCAGACAGATTTTGTTCACAACATGAGGGTGGACATAATATGATCCAGGTACTACTAGTACTAGTACTAAGGTTCCGTTGATCAAAAGATAACAGCAGTAGTAAGAAGCTGAAATAAAATGTCACATATCAAGAAGCTTCATATAACTACAAAAGAACAAGACTACTAGTAGTGGTGAAACCACTCAAAATGCCACTATATTGAAGTGTAGTTCTTTAGGTATCACTGTTGTTGCCACTGCAGACAACAGACAGAATCTCATCAAAACAAATACTGGTGAATGCTGAGAAGGTTGAATAGATACTATCAGAGGGGGTAGGTCCTTGTTGAGGGAGGTGGCTCCAAAAAGTGAGGACTTTAAAAACAAAAATACTACACAGCTGCCACAAAGGCAAGCATCATATTTTTATGTCCTAACAAAGAATATGGATAAAAAATGTCAGACTCACAAAGGAATTCACAAGCAGCAATTCTTACTAGCTGTAGTAAGAACTTCTTTTTTGTCCCATCACATCATATTTCCAAAAGTTGCCACTTCCAAATGTGCACTCCAAAAAAGGAGAGAAAATATTGACTTTTTTGCCAAGTAGGATTTGTACTGATGGTGGTGGAGTCTACAAATGTGTCCTGAAGAGAAAGGAAAGAGAGTTAATCAAAAGACACTGAGAAAATGAATGCAAGGGGTCTATCAACAAGGATTTGTACTGGTGGTGACCAATTACCAATTTATATTGCCAATGCAAGAATTATTCACCAGTTACAAGAAAGATATCCACAAAATGTGTTCATTTCAGCATGGCCTTGTTACATAAGCAATTGGATTAATGCTGTGCTGTTACTATGAGTTACTACAGCAACTAGTAGTACTAGTATTACTAGTATTACTAAAAAAAATCTTAAAATTATATTTAACCTTGTGAACTAGAAGAGGCACTTGGATGGCCAAAACCACAGTTTTCGTTAGAAAGAATGCTTCTAGCTGCACCAAGCGGCGGCGCCTCCCTCCGAGGAGGTTTTGTGGAGGCACGACCACGTTCTATGCACACTGATAGGCCAGTGACGGCCCAAGGCTAGACTCAGKGGACATAAAAGCAATTGGTTCACAGTTTGGATGGATGAGAACCATGCCATAACCATTTCCAAGGAGCACTGCCAAGCCCGTAGGTTGGGGTTACCCAGCCCCAACCCGTAGGCACGCTATCACACGCAGTGATCAAGGAAATGTGTGCCACGCAGTGATCAAGGAAATGTGTGCCACGCACACTGCCACCACAGTGGGTGAGGACATATGTAGTCAAAAATAAAAAATAAAAACCAAAAAAGAAAAGAAAAAAGGAAACGTCGTACTTCTTTCACCAAATTACAGCTGAGCCCGCCCAAAGGAGCAGCTGTTTGAGTATCTTCTTGAAGAAGAAACTGATAATAAATCCTCTAACTCTGTAACCGCTGGTCACAAGGTCAAACACTGGGKGTGTTATTGTTACTGGAACAACAACAATCGTGATTGGAAAGTACTGGGGCTTCTGGTCCTTGAGAACTGGGGAAGGATCCAGCTGAGGAAAGCTGGAGTAACTGGGGTGGTGTTGTTGCGGTCCTGCACAAATGTCGGAACCAACAACAACCTGACCAGAAAACGCGTCCGGTCCGTAAAATAATGGAACTGCATGGAGAGGCTGGGGATCTTCTTTAGAGTATGTATGTAGCATATACACCAAGCATTGTTCTTCATATAATAGGTCTGGATTGTACTGGGGTTGGTGCTGTTGCTTTCTGGCACGGAGGTCAGAAGCAACAGCAATAGTGACCGGAAAGCACTGGGGCTTCCAGTCCTTGAGAACTGKGGATGGATCCAGCTGAGGCAAAKCACTCAGCYKGAGTAACTGGGGTTGGTGTTGTTGCGGTCTGGCACGAATGTCAGAACCAACAACAACCTGACTGGAAAACGCTTCCGGTCCATAAAATACTGAAATACTGGGGTTGGTGCTGTTGGCTTCCGACATGTATGTCGGAAACAACAGCAATTGTGTGACTGGAGGCACGTTATGATGTAGCATATACTCCAGGCGTTGTTCTTCACTAGGTCATGGCTGAATACTGGCTTGGGGTTGGTGTTATTGCATTCCAACAGGATTGTCGGAAACAACAACAATCATGACCGGAAAACTCTTCCAGTCCGGAAAATACTGGAACTGATACTGGAACTGCATGGAGATGCTGGGGAATCTTCTTTGAAACTGAGTATGATGTAGCATATACTCCACGCTTTGTTCTTCACTAGGTCTTGGTTGAATACTGGGGGCTGGGGTTGGTGTTGTTGCATTCCGGCACAAATGCCGGAAACAACAACAACAATCGTGACCGGAATCTTCTTCTGGTCCGTAAAATACGGGAACTGCATGGAGATGCTGGGGAATCTCCTTTGAAACTGAGTATGATGTAGCATATACTCCATGCTTTGTTCTTCACTAGGTCTTGGTTGAATACTGGGGGATGGGGTTGGTGTTGTTGCATTCTGGCACGAAAGTTGGAACCAACAACAACCTGACCGAAATCTTCTTCCGGTCTGTAAAATACTGGAACTGCATGGAGATGCTGGGGAATCTTCCTTGAACTGAGTATGATGTATGATGTAGCATATACTCCATGCTTGTTCGGCACTAGTAGGTCTTGGTTGAATACTGGGGGATGGGGTTGGTGTTATTGCATTCTGGCACGAATGCCGGAACCAATAACAACCTGACCGGAATCTTCTTCCGGTCCGTAAAATACTGGAACTGCATGGAGATGCTGGGGAATCTTCCTTGAACTGAGTATGATGTATGATATAGCATATACTCCAGGCTTGTTCTTCACGAGGTCGTGGTTGAATACTGGGGGCTAGGGTTGGTTGGTGTTATTGCATTCCGGCACAAATGTTGGAAACAACAACAACAACTTCAACACCAGAAGATACCACACGGTGCTTCTGGACAAACAAGGGATCCAGCTGTGGTAAGTGAAACCACCACCAGCTGGGGGATCGATGTACTTGGAATAGTCGTGGTTGCATTGCTTGCTGGTTGCTGAGGAGGATTTTCCCCTTCCAAAGGGGATGTCACCATGGTTYGGAAGTCAGAAGGAGCTTGTCAGGTAGGAATGTACGTAGGAATAAGTAGGAATTCTAGGGGATAATTTTCATAAGCGAAGTGTAATTTCGTGCATTTGAAAAATTTGATTTGAAAATTATAGTAGTAGTAGTATTACTAGTACTAGTACTTCCACCAGCACAAGTGTTTTTCTGTACAAAGAAAGTAGTATTTTGTGCTACTGGTAGTACTATTTGGTAGTAGGAGCAGTACTACTAGTACCTCCTCTTCTTTTCTCTTGTTTACAACAAAAAGAAGAGGAAACCTGTGGAAAATGTCAACTACAACAATGTACAGCAACAAGAACAAGAAAAACAAATCAACACCAGCAAGAGCAAAAAAGGAACAAGGAATTAATTCTTCTATTCATAGGATTTTAGAAACAACAAACAGCCAGAGTGCTGGTTTCATTAATTGACTTCTTCACCCTGCTTCTACTACTTTGAATTTGTTCACAATAGTACTTTGCCCCCCCCCTATCTTGCTCTAACTTTATGTTTGCACCATACTACTACAATCATGGAAGTTGAAAAGAAAAAAGTACTAGAATAGTTTTGTTATACTGCAATAGTAGTAATACTGTAGTAGTGCTCTTGGAGCTGGGGACTCTGGGGGGGGGGCACTAGTAAAAATCCTGTGTGAAGTTTTTAACTTATTCCCTTTGCTTGTTGCCAAATGTTCCCACCTGCAAAATTTACCAAAATAATTGATTCTTTCTTTGCTACTGCTACACTACTGTACTACTGAATGCATTGCACCCTCTCATCACTGAAATATAATATATGTAGAGTTGAAGTTGCTTTGCTGGGTAGTGTACACAGGTGAAAATCATGGAAATTCTGAAGCAAGAAAAAATCCAAAAATGCACTATTTGGGCAGGGACAGTGCACAGGAAATAGTTGAAATATACACCATGATAGTACAAAATGGATGGCTATTTTTTACAATAAAATGTTTGTTTCAAGAAATAAAATGGTGGGACAAGAAGTTGCTGGTGATAGTATGCCAATATTCMATCATGGAAGCCAAAAAGAAAAAATACTAGAATAGTTTTTTTGACTGAAATAGTTGATGGAAATAGGGAGTCTGAGGGGGTAGAAACACTAAAAATATGGTTGAAGTTTTTTTCAACATAGTAGACCATTGTACAAAATGCTGAGGAATCATCATGGTGGCTGTTTTAGAGACTATACTACTAGTACTACTACTAGTAATAGTACTAGTACTAGTACTAGTACTAGTACTAGTACTACTACTACTACTACTAGTAAACTGTTGCTTCCAGAAAATATACAGAGCCAAGAATACTAGTTGCTTTTTCTTTGAAACATAACATTTTCTTCCACAAAATACATTTTATGCCACTGGATGACGACGATTTGTCTTCCAATTTCAATGAACTGCAAAAGACCCAATATTCATTGGGCTGGTTGCAAAAATCAGTGACCTTTGACTTTTTACTACCAATAGTATGCTGGTTCTCAATTACCGTATGAAACGTACCGTACATACGTGGATGGCATACGTGATTGATTTGATGGACGAAGAGGTACGAATAGAACGTACATGAACGTTGCTCGTACCGGTATTTTTTCGAAGTGTGAGGTATGATGTTGTTGTCGAAGAAGTTTCGATTAAAACGGAAAGGAACCACTCAATAATCAACAAAACGAAAGGAAAAGCAGGAGCAGTCTCATAGTTACTGTGATGCAATCTGCGGTACGAAACAAATTCAATTACCACCAATTTCGTCCCGATCACCTGCATTCAGATCTGCTGTTGCAAATCATACTCGTCCCGTATTCATACCAACGTTGATTTCCGTGAGGGAGTCAGAGAAGGAAAAAATAGCAGCCTTCGTTTTCGATGAGTTCCACAAAACACAATGAGTCACCCCATGCATTCTATCGCATTATGGAGACTCTTGTATTGATAGGGTTTGGACTGCTTTTGTTGATATCACAGATAGAGGGACTGGCGGGATCATCGCCCCCTCGACGTCCTCCGCGGATACGACCCCGGAGGCAATCTCCAAGCACTTCGTCCTCCGACAGCGATTTCGACACCGGCGGTGGAAGCAGCAACCACAACAAGAGCAAGGCCACTGGAAACGACAGAGAGGAATTGAGGGTTCGACGGCACGAGCAGGCCCTTCAGGATCCATCACTGCTGACCACAGTTCGGTTTTCCGACCGCACCGACATCCACCCGGACACGCGAAGGGCCCTGGAGGAGGGCTTTGGGCTCAGGGCCATGACCCGGGTCCAGGCAGAGACGTACGGGGCCGCTCTGGAGGGAAGGTCCATCCTGGCTCGTTCCAGAACGGGCACCGGAAAGACGCTTGCCTTTTTGCTGCCTACCATCGAGCGGCTGCTCGACTCCGACCTCGACCTCTATCAACCCGGTCGGTCCATCGGGTGCGTAATCTTGGCACCGACCAGGGAGCTCGCGATCCAAATCGCCGACCAAGCAGAGATTCTGTTTGATTATCACAACAAGCAGCGCCCCAGCAACAAGCAGTTGTCCGTCGCGTGTATTTATGGTAAGGCTCTCGCAGTGTCACCGTTCTGTTGCTACTCGCCACAAGAAGAGCCGCAGGAGAAGCTATCGAGGGACAATGGTTCGACTACTTTTCTTCATTATACCAGGCCTGACTGATAATCTCTTTCTTGCGTTTCTCCAAATTCGATCAGGCGGGGTGAAAATGCAGCGAGACGTACGATTGCTGACAGGTGGGTATCGGGGGGCAGGCCTACCAACCATATTGGTGGCAACACCAGCTCGTCTCCTGGAACACCTGGAAGGAAATTCCCCGCTTAATAAAAACCATAGATACAACCGCAACCACCAACAAGAGCAACGGAGCAAGAACTCCTTTGCAGATGTTGTCGCCGACACAAAAATCGTTGTTCTCGACGAAACAGATCGGTTGTTGCAAAAGAGCAACCAATACGAGACACAGAAAATTCTGGGTTTCATGGCGAGGGCAGAAAAGCGACAAACACTTCTTTTTTCGGCGACCATTCCCAGAGCTGTGCGGAGGCTGATATCAACTTCTTCGGTACTCAACAAGAAGGTCAAACACAACAACGGGCGACGTGAGAGAAAAGACGACGACGCCACTTTTTTGGAAGTGGATTGCATTGGAAACAAAAACGACCGACCGGACGACACGGCACCCGTCGGCGACAAGCAATCGCCTGCAGCAGTGACTCTCGATGCGGAAATAGAAGGATCCCCCGACTCCGTGCACCGGCAGCGCATCGAAGAAACGTTTGCAGTGCTCGAAAACATGTCGCAGTTCATACCGGCGCTCTTGGCAATTATTCGGCGAGAAAAACAACGGGATAGTCAAAACTACAAGATTCTGGTATTCTTCCCAGCTGGCCGCATGGTCCGGTTTATGTTCCAGTTCTTCACGATAGGGGTTATCGAAGGCAAGAACAACATTTGGGAGATACATTCTCGAATGTCGCAATCATCCCGGACTCGAGCAAGCGCCGCCTTTCGGAATGCTCGCAATGGCATTTTGTTTTCCAGTGATGTATCTGCCCGGGGATTGGATTATCCAGACATTTCGCTCGTCGTACAAATGGGAGCACCGTCCAGCGACCAGGACTATATCCATCGAATTGGTAGAACAGGCAGGGCGGGGCAGGTGGGCAGGAGTCTCTTGGTCCTCTTGCCCTTCGAAAGGCAAAAGAAAGAGCAGCGCCGGCAGAAGGGGGGGAACAAGAAGCGGCCGGGGAAGGTGAGCTACCGCAACGATGCCAGCATAAAGCAAGACAGACAGTTGTCGTCATGGCTGAACGAATGTGGACACGACGACCATGAGGAAATGTCTTCTTCGAAATCACTTTATCAAAAGTGTCAAGACGACCTCGAATCCACGAGATTGAAGGTCAGGAGTGGTCACGTTGTTTTGACAACGGGTGCCGAAGCTGCATACAAAACATTCTTGGCGCATTACGTCGCCACAATAAAGCCTCCCAATAAGTCAAAGAGCGGTACAAAGCAGTATACGAATAGAGGCAACAGCGTTAACAACCTCAAGCCATCTGAGGTTCTTGTCCACGCCGAAGATTTTGCTAGGGGTACAGGGCTCGCCGATGCACCCGAGATGGAAGAAACGTTTTTATCCAAACTCGGTTTGCTGTAGTGCTGTGTTAGAGGATCATCAACAAAGCTTCTATCAATGTTTCAAAATAGAGTTACAGGGTCTTATCTATCATTCATTATCCCAAATATTTTCACCTTCACCTTCACTTTCACCTTCACCACCTGGCTCTTGACACCACCGATTGCAGAGCTATTCGTTTTTGTTCACTGTAGTAGCACCTATTAATTGAATTGTTTTCGAACAACACACGAGAGTCATTGTCTCCACTCTCTCCATGTATTTCGTACAGTATTTTGTATACCTTGTTCTTGTTTGCTTAAGCACAGGGTTCATTTCAATCCTGACCCACAATCACTGTTTCTTCTTAAGAGTACTCGCACCACCTTCTCCTCTGCTGTCATTGCCTTATCTTCCATGTAAAAGTCTCCCTGGTTTTGCAGCCCAAACGGTAAGTCTTTCTTTTATATTTATTATTTTCTCAGTGCTAGTGCTACTAGTACTAGTAGTTGATGCGTCTTTTCTCCAAGTTTGCTACAGCTATTGGGGTACGCAGCATGCTAGTTTGTACTGTACGAAGTAGTATGATTAGAGTACGAAGTACATCACGGCATTTGTTGTACGTTCTGTTACGGGCCTTAATCGTAGATCGGATGATCAGGCATCCGGAATCCGGAATCCAAAATCAGCACTTTTAAAGAAGAACCGAAAGCGCTATCGTTTACTGTAATCAGTGAGGGCCATCGAAATTTTGATCGATGATATCTCATGGTGTGGTGTCAATTTCTAGTTTCAAATTGTACCGGCTGGGGAAAACTGTGGATTGCGACCAGAATCTAGAACTCCCATTCCTTTCATAATGGGTCACCGCTATCATATCAAACCTACACAATGAACCATAAAATCCCACCTGTATCCTGAACAGGGATCAGGCCGCAAAAACAACCATGGACAGTACGGTATGGTATGTAACAACAACTCGTGCTTTTGTCGTCCCCCATCGGTTGCGTGCAGTATGTTTGTTTGTGTGAATCAGTGAGGATTACGTTTTTTAGATGACGAGTCGGAGGCCAAATTCCAGTACGTTTTGTAATGGAATGGTTCGATGTCGATTGCAAGAACGAGGCATTTGTCTGAGATTCACAGAACAAGGAGCGGCATTAGTACCAAATAGTTGTGGTAGCTACCGCAAGCAGCGACAACTGCTGGTCGGGTTCCTTTGCTCCTACAAAACCTCATTGTTCTTTTCACTTGCTTCACCGTATCCCTTCAACAGATGAATACGATAGATCTGCTGCGTCAGACTACACCAACGTGATGACGAACAGCCGTTTGGTGACGATCGCAATCCCTACCGAAGGAAATGTGCACAAACATCGAGAGGAATGCTAGTCTTCAAACTGGAGAGAGTAGACCAACGCAGCCCGAAGCGTCACCACTTTTGAGGACCAACGAAGCACAAGCACCAACGCCTGTGGCTTGTCGCACGCCGATCCAGGACCATCTGCTACGCTCGAAGCGAGTCCGTAGTTGCGCACGAGCGGTTTGAAAGAACGAACCTTTGTTTGACGACCGCACAGCAAAGACCCGCCAAGTCATGCAACAACAATTGTTTCGAAAGCTCCCACTACGGCATTCGAGACGGAGAAACAGCAATAGCCATAACGACAACTTCTAACGTCATCACTTATTCCCGCGAAACGCATCTCACACTAGCCTTAGCTATGCATACTTTTCGGCACTTTTAGAATCAACCCGAGGGCCATCGTGTGACAAGTCGTGATGCAGAATCGCTCTCAGGCTCGTCCAGTATGCTCTAGTGCATTGCCGTCTTTTACTTTGGTCGTTCATTTTGAAGACGTAGCTAGTACTACTCGCGGAATGCTATGTAGTCAATTGCGTTGTAGATGGTTTCACATAATATGTACAACTGTTGAATTCTATACTGTATATTTATGTTAAGAGTGCTCCACTCGTGCCCTGTTCCCTTGATGCTTTTATTTCCCACAAACGCCACACGACCGGGAACAAATTTTCTTCAGCGGCGTTTTGTACCTGCCGTATTTCCTGTTGCACTTTTTGTTCTTGGCGACCCATGCACAGGTCTTTATCTTGTTTTTCTTCCACTTGAGCCGTCCGCCGTTCATGTCTTCGCAGGAACCGACCGAGATTGGTTGGACGACGTGTTTGAATGGGGTGAGGTCGTCCGATTTGAAGAGAACCTTGCCCGTGGCATCGGCCACGCGGTAGTACCCCTTGTCTCCCTGCAGCAGGCCGTCCCCGAAGTGGTCGTACACGACGAATCGATACTTGGCGTTGTAGGGGAGACACACCTTGGTTCGTGACGTGCCGTAGGCCTCCAGGATGGGTTCGCCGGCCGCAACGGCCGTCTCGACGAGCTTGCCGTTGACGTAGTCTTCTTTGGCAATGTACCAGGCGTTGTCGTCCGGATAAAGATCGGCTTTCACGTCGACGTAGTGCATCCTGCAGGGAGGGGCCTTTGCACCGTTGGTGGACGGAGGGCTGTTTCGGAGGTCCGTGACCTTGACGACCGCGTCCCCGAAGCCGTTTCGGAGACCGAGGAACTTGACCTCGACGGTGCGCTTGCTCTGACCGTTGAAGGACTTGATCCTGTAGGATTGGCCGACGTACAAGCTGGCGACCTTGGTCGACCTGCCGTATTCGGAGGGGCTTCCGGAATCCTTGCGCACGATCGTGACCTTGTCCCAGTCCTCCATGACATCGCTGTTGGCTCCGTCCCTGCGATTGTAGCCAACGTAGTAGTCTGGAACAAGATCGGTTTGTTCCAGTCGAAGGACCACGAGTGCATCGTCGACCGCTTTGGCGTTGTAATCGGCAACGCCGCGAAGGGTAAACTGGCGAACGGGGAGATCCGGCTTGTTGTTCGAAATCGGATTGATGGTCTTGACTTTTTCGTCGTACCAGCCTAGCTGGTAGCTCTTGGCGGGGTTGTAGCACATCCGGATGTCGTCGAGGTCGTTGGAACTGCCCATCAGGCCCGACTTGTCGCCGTAGGTGGTTCTCTCGTCTCCCGAATGAGCGAGACCGAGGTTGTGTCCGATTTCGTGGAGCTGCATCGATACGGGGGAACAGCTGTTGTTGTAGAAGGACATCTTCCCGTTCGAATAGGCGTGGGCCAGCCACTCGGCTCCGCCCTTGAGCGTCCCGGGGGGCATGCACATCATGACGAGATCGAACTCCTTGCTGTTGATGAGGTCTCCGAGCTTGGCTTGGGAGGCCTTCATGGCCGCCCCCAGGAGGGTGTTGTAGTCGTTGTCGGCGGAGATGTCGTGGGAGTCGAGAACAAGGTTCACGACCCCGCGGTTGATGGCCACGTTGGTCTTGGTACGCCCCGAAAAGGGCTCGATGGAGAGCTTCCCGTGCGAGCAGGCCTCGATCTGCGACCGGAGGCAGACCTCGTCGTCGAAGATGTCGTTCTCCAGCTGCTTGAGGCCGGCGTCCGGCGCGCGGCCCTTGGCATCGATCACGCGGACGGCGAGGACGGTCAGGGACTTCTTGCCGCTCCCGGCCTTTCCCTCCCGTGTCTCGACCCGGGTCCCCGCGAGCTGCGTGCCCGCCAGCAGGTCCTGGCTGTTTCTCATGGAGGTCCCCTCCGTGCCGATGCCTCCCTCGGTGCGCAGGTCGAGGATGGAACCGGCCGGAATGTACATTCTTGGATTGGTGTCGACGTCTTCGATGATGGCTCTGCCGATGGTCAGAACCGACGTCCCCGACTTGAGAGAGGAGGCGTCAACGCCGACGGCCCGTTCCAGGCCGTCGATCTCCACGAGCTGCCACCCGATGCGCGCGGATTCTTCGGGAGAGCTTATTTCGCAGATCCACCGGTCCCCGTCCAGGGGGTCGTCCAGGACCAAGGGATCTTCGGCTTTCGGGCGATCCGCCTTCGATTCGGTCTCGCGCCTCGCGGTGGCGACCCGCGGGTCTTCGTCCGGACTAGGGCCCTTGGTCTTGTAGGCGATCTCGTCGAGGAAGAGCCGGCAGGTGGTCGGCGTGTGCACCTCGAGCCTGCGGCGGAGGCTTCGGCCGTTGCGGAGGCTGCTCGTTTCGGAAGCGGGCAGGGTTTGCTCGCTTCCCCGGAGAGCGGTCGTGGATGCCGCCGCGGCGATTGCCATCGAGAAGGCGGTGAGCAAGCGAAACTGGAGGAGCACAAAGTTGTTCATTGTTTGTTGGCTGTCTCGTGATGGGTTGTGTTGTGCTCGTTGGTGGTGTGTGTGCGTGGTTGTTTCCTGGTGGTGTGAGATGAGATGAGATGTTATKGGTGCAGAATTTGTTGGTTGGTTGAACAGGTTGCAGCTTGCCCCGTGTTTTGTGATTGTGGTTTCGTTGCTGGTATTACTGTATTTTATGAGACCTGATCCAATGCGTTGTGTGATGTCCGGTTTCGGTTTTGTTTGGGTTTGCTTGAAATGTCGTTGGTTGGCGCAAGAAGAACAAAAGGGCGATCACTTTATCTCCTCCGCAAAACGTGGGTAAGGCTCCCACCGAAAGTTCACCGGCGCATAATTCGAAACCATGTCTATGTTCGCAGCTGGTGTTCCACCAGGAATGCATGCTATTTTTCAAATGATCTCACAATGTAACATAGAAACCGCCCTCTTATGACTTTTCGCAAAACAAAGAATGTAAAATAAAATCGGGAATGATTGACATTGTCGGTTATTTAACTATCTTGCTTTTTATATGAGGATTCAGTCGTACAATATGTCACACACTAAGTAATTAAGGCGGGCTTCAACAAAGACCTACCAGTCATTGACAATATTTGATTCCAAACGTAGATTCAACGGAAGCATTATATGGAAATAAAGTGGACCTTTTAAGTGTCTCCATATACCATTTTATCTATGTTTCTTTTTGTGATTTATTTAAGGTTCTTTTGACAGAAGGGATATTAATTAAAAAAGTCATTGCTTTGTTTGATCGTCTTCCACCCACTCAAATCACTGGATATACCATACCATGATAGTTCTTTTACATCCATTGCATAATTGTGATAATGACCAATCCAGAACCGAACCGATTCAAACCAATATGCCAAATAAAAATGACATTTGTAATCATTATTAGAAGAAATAGAAAGAAAAAGCGTAGAACCGCATGAAGCATTGATTTCTGTTCTTTGAGGACAACATACCCTCGCGGAGCGTTCGTCCCAAAAACCATTTCGTACAGCACTACTTATGGTCGTAGTACCACGCACTTCTATTTTGTACCTGAAATCTCGCCGGCTTCATTTTTTGATCCCGTTTTTTGTCAGTTGGGGGGCGAACGAACCGACTCATAGGCCTCGCGGCAAGAAACAAATTCTTGCTCCGGAATCTTGATACGAATCGGTCGTCTTTTCGCAGACGTTCTGGGGGGACGCCTTCCGAGCCTATCTCGGGTACCACCCGTCAGTCCGTTTCTGTGTAATCTTTCGAGACCGTGTGTCTTCGGGATCGGTCGCGATCGATAAAACGGTACCAATCGACGATACGGTCCCGTACAAACAAGGACGTGTTACCCCATGGCGACCCGGCATTGCGCTTTAAACAAAAAACATCGGGGACAAGTGACACAATAGCACGACAAGTGCCACAATAGCCTCGCTGCCCGTGAGACCATCACTAAAGAAACACTGATAATATTTAGATTTTTTTTTAAACTTATCAATAATAAAGAAACACTGTTCTTCACTTACTGTACTTCTGAGCATCACACAACACATACGGTACCGTACGGTATATCACTCCCGGGGTCTAGACGGCCACAATCTCCGTTGGGATCACCGCGACCAGTGCGTACCGGTACCGTGCCGTGCGTACGGGACCATGCGACAACAATCGTACGGACCAACAAGTAGTGCGACATCCGTGATGGGCGTCGGGCTCTGACAGCATGCTCCGACCTTGCTAGACGAATACCGTACGGTACGGCAGGAGACCTTTCGCAAAGGAGACCACAACTTGTACCGTACCGTGCCGTCCGTACGGGACCGTGCGACATCGCACGGAGTAGAAGTACGAGTACGAGTAGTACGAGTACGTCAGTGATCGGTGTCGGCTCCGACCGCCCGTTCCGACCGACCGAACAGAACATGCTAGACTAGTACGGCAGGCGGCCTTTCGCAAAGGACTAGTCCGGCAGGATAGTGCGTTGCGTTGCGTTGCGGCCCGGCGCCTGCTTCGGGAAAGACTCCATGCCAAGGATTGGGCTGTTCGACCAACTTCTTCGCGGCCCGGGATTCCGTAGCGCGGCAGGGAGCACAAGCACAAGCAGACCGGTGGCGCAGGGCAGGGCAGGGCATGGAGTGCGCAGCGCTTGCTTGTGGGTCGACCGCCGGTGCCGTCCTTGCTCGCACTCGAACGGGCCACCGGCTTCTTTCCCGGCCCGTGGTCCCCGGCCCAGAGGGTGGTAGTTCCGAGCGGAGGAGCACAAGGATACTCGTACCGTACTACAGCAATCAACGAAGTACGGGGGAGTACGTAGCGTTTGTGGGCCGCCGATTTCGTCCTTGCCCGTTCCGATGACCCAATGTTTGTGTCGTCGACGGCGAAGAGGAATCGGGAGATCATACCAGTAGAAAGCCTCTCGGTCTTTCTTGGCGCGTTCTGTCCACGATATCTACTAGAAACACTACCGTAGTAGCGGCTAGTGGCTTCTGGTAGGGGTGCAATGATTGGCACGGCTTGGCATGAAGTAGTACGAGTACTGTACTATACGAACAGCTTCAGTCGCAGTTCTTATCTGATAGTTACTACTGTAAAGTAGTAGCACTCAGGAACCCGCAACGCAACCGTATTTGAACACTGTTTCGTTGGCAACGACGTTCTTCAATGCCATTCCGTCACGCCTGAATGAAAGTAGCTATAACGCCCCCAAACTGGTGTTGTACCCTGTATGTACGATAGACTAGTACTACGTACCCGTGACAGGGACGAGAAGAAATTATTCAAGTGTATAAGATTAATAGTGTATTAATGCAGTGGAATTCAACAGTACCAACAGTCCCCCGGCATGCTTTTCAGTCTTGCAACGCCGAAGCACTCTTTTGGATCGTATCGTTGCACTGTTGCAAAAGAAATGAGACTGCTGAAGCGTTGCGATGATCAGATACCTTTGCCTTCTTTCCATCCCTTACTGCTAGTAGTATTACTGGCGACAAAGCATCGTGCTAGGTTCTTGCCTTGAAGAAGCTGGTTGGTTGGTATCGGGTTCGTAGAACAAACCGCGTAGCCTTTTTCCTATCGTGCCAAGTTTCGCGCCAAAATGGACATTGCCAAACAATTACGATCCTTGATCGTATCGTACGTACGAGTACGGGACGAGTACGTACGTGCCGCGCGTTCGATATTGTTGGGCTACGTAGGATCTGAACAAGAACGAACCCTGCTTCGGTCCCTTCGCCGCTCGTTCCAGAATCAGTCCCTCGTGCTTCGTGTAACGGTACCTACGAGTAAAGTACCGGACAAGTACAGGTACTCGTAGGCACAGACAGGTTCAGAAATCGGTCCTTTCTTTCAAAAACTAGTTCTGTACTACAGACTAGTGGCACCGTAGGATTCGTACCGGTACGAACGCGAGGAATCGAAATCATCGCCGTCGTTTCCGATTCAAAAACTCGGAAGCATGTTTTGTGCACATACCATCCGGTTTGTTTGTACAGTACATCAACAACCACAGCCAGAGACACCGTTGCTGCTGTTGTTGTTGTTGTTGTTGTTGTTGCTCGCCATGGGCCATCCCAGACCAGCAGGCCATGGTTCGATGCATCAGATCGTGTTCCGTTTGCGGCCTCCGCTTCGTCTCGCACGGGGGAACCGGGCCCGGGCGGACGCACAGCTGCCCCGGATGCCGTTCGACAAGGCCGTCCCCGACGGGGGACGGGACGGGTGCGGTGTCGGCGGCTCCCGGGGCTGCTTCCGGAAGATCCTCCGCTGGCGGGGACAGTGGGGTGGCCGCGGAAGCCCTCGGGGCTGCCGCTAGCGGCGGGGAATCATTGCCCGGGAGCAGCAGCCACAAACACAACAGCAACAAAGTGGTAGGCTGCGAACCAAGCAGGAGTTCCGACCCCGATCGCGAGCTTTGCAGCAACACCGGCTCCGTTTGCACCACGGTCGCAGAGGGCCTTCCTTCCGAGCCACCTCTGGCCGCGGTTCCGATGGCCTCCCCACGGCCAACGAAGCCATCGGGCGGCGAGGACAGGCAGGAGCAACAACAAAAACAACAACAACAACCGCAGCAGAAACCACCACCACCACCGCCGCCGAACGGCGACGTCTGCTTCATCTGCGGGATCTCCCTCGCGCACCTCAAGCGGAGGATCGACCACATCAAGCGCTGCTCGAAAAAACACGGCATCACCGGCAGGGACGTAGTGGTGCCGCTTCCGCCCCCGGGCGGGGCCGGCCCTCGGGAAGGCGAGCGGGACGGGGGAACCCCAGGGGCACCGCCCCAAGAGCCACCTTCGGCCACCTTTGGAGGGCCAGGCACCACCGACGGCGGCGACGCCCAGTGGCACGGCGGCGCGGGTACCCTGGTCGACCTGGCGGCGGGAAAGCCCCCGGCCCCCGGCGCGGAGCTGCTGAAGGCCGCCGCCGGGAACCACGGCGGAACCCGGCCCCCGGTCCCCCTCGCCAACCGCAACCTGAACAACGTCCTGATGGCCGGGTCCCGGAGGCTCGGCGTTGCCGCGGGTGTGCACCGCCACAAGCACGGGGCCGCGCCCGCGGAACCGGACCGGAGCCGCAAGAGGGGGAGACCGGGAAGCGCCGGTGCCCACCGGGCCGGCTGGAACTGCCCGCTCTACAAAAAAATCACCGGGACGGACTTTGTCGTCGATGGCTTTCACTACGCCAAGCGGTAAGTGCGAGCGTGTGCGTGTGCGTGTGTGCGTTCGTGGGCGAGCCGACCGGAGGAACGAGCGGCCGGCAACGCTTGGATCTCGATTTTGCCGCTTTGTCGAATCGAGTCCATTTTCTCATCCCTTGTTGCCCCTGGCTCCTTGTGCACTTCCTTTCTGCCTGCCTGCTGCGCTAGAACCCTGACGAAGAACTATTTTCTTTCCCACTTCCACTCCGATCACTACGGGGGCATTGCTTCCTCGTGGGACGCCGGGACGATCTACTGTTCCCTGCCGACCGCCTCCCTGGTCCACCAGCAGCTCGGTGTGGACAAGAAACACCTGCACCCGCTGCCCATGAACACCCCCACCGTCATTGAGAGCAGGGGAAGGGCCGTTACGGTCACCCTGCTCGATGCCAATCACTGCCCGGGGTGAGTGCGGACGAATCCATGAAATGGATGGATGCGGCACGACCTTGTGGGATGGCTGGCGCTGTCTCGGTGGGCTTGTTTCCTCCTTGCTGGCGCACTGGCTGTTTTGTTGTTGTCCTACTCACGAAAACACGTTTTGGTTGTCTCTCGTTTCCTTTGGATTCGATTCGATTCAATTCGATTCGTTGCTTGTCGAATATTTCCTTTTCCATTTGGGACCACCAGCGCCGTGATGTTCTTTTTCGAGGTCGGACGCCGCACCATACTCCACGTCGGCGATTTTCGGTGGTCGAGGGACGCAATGCTCGGGGATCCGTCGTCTCCGCTTGGCAGTATTGCGTCCCAGAAGCGAGCCCTCGACGAGCTCTACCTCGATACAACCTATTGCGACGAAAAATACCACCTGCCGGAGCAATCCGTTGCCATCAAGGCCACCATCGAGGCGTTCGAAACCGAAACGGCAAAGAAGGGCAGGACCCTTCACCTGTTCGGGGCGTACACGATCGGAAAAGAGAAAATCTGGGCGTCCGTGGCCCTGCGATTCGGACGAAGGGTCTGCGTGGACAGGAGCCGGCACAGGGTTCTCTCGGCCCTGGATCTTCCGGAGGAAATCACCAGCCTCCTGACCACCAACAAGGAAGAGTCCAACCTGTGGGTGGTCCCCATGGGCCACCTGAACATGAAGAAACTCCCCGACTATCTCGGCGCCGCCAATTCCAAGCCCTTTTCGCCCCACTACGACCGCATCGTGGGGTACCGGCCCACCGGCTGGTCACTCTCGTCCAAGCCGGGGGGAAGCGTCCTCACCAGCCGCACCAGCAAGGACCGCCGCCTCACGATCCACAGCGTCCCGTACAGCGAACACTCTTCCTTTCCCGAGCTGGTGGACTGTCTGGCCTGCCTCCGACCGGAGAAAATCGTTCCGACGGTGAAGGCCTCCGCAAGCGGCGAGCAGGTGAAGCTGCTGATGGGGGGCCTGCGCCAGAGGCAGCGCACCTCGAAACTCTTTTTCGGGAAAGCAGTCTAGAACGAACGAAATGGTCCACCATTTGAAACGGGGATCTCTAAGATATTGCTATAATTGGTACTGGTTAGTCGGTTTATCGGTTGGTTTGATCGTAGGTTCTTGGCTACTGCAGTTACTAAGTAGCGTGTGTCATTTCGGTCACACATGCAGGCCTGCTCGTTTGTTGCACCACGATAATCCATGCGTCTTCAAGTCCTTGGGGATGCAACCCCGTTCACTTCCGTCATAGGCAAAGACCGAAACGCATCGGGTAGGTGGCAGTCGACGCCGAACAGCGTGCTGCTAGTTGATTTCTCGTGGGATGCTTCAAGCCGTTCGAGGGCAATCGTAGGGAACCGATCGAGCATTCCCGACACGACAGGGATACCGACACACGACAAGACAGTGGATCGGGACAGCTCGATGATTCCGTTTACTTTCCCCCCCACCAGCCAGTCGCTCGTTCCGCAATCGATGGAATACACAAACCGGACGCCCTCCATGTCGTAGCTGCCGCCGGGGTCGGCAACAAATTTCATTTCCACCGGTTCGCCGACCAGGCCGTGACTTTTCTCTAGCTCAAGAGCGAACGGAATATCCGCTGCGTTCGAGGAATCCTCTTGGGATAGACTAGAATAAAACTCGTCCAGATCCAGGGGAAGGGCGAGTGAATACTCTTTTTCCGTGTCGGCGTAAAGCTTCAGGTGCAGCTTGGATGATTTTTGGGGCTCCATAGAAAGTCCCTTTTCAACGGTGCATTCAAAGGCAAACGAAAGCCGATCACCGTCCGAAACGGTTTGTTCGAGAACATTTTCGTTCAGATCGGTGCCGGTTGCTTCTGCGATCGGAGAGGCCATCTCGAGGCCCCACTCTTTTACTGTTGAGAGATACGGCGTGTTTGAAGTGACTGTGATACTCAACAAAAATCTATCTTTAGCGTGAAGCCAATATGTTTCGATGGATTCGACGGATAGAGCCGTTTTGTCTTGCACGGGTGCAAATGACTCTAAGGTTGTTTTCGTACTTTCCTGGTTCGACTCATCACTTTCTTTGGTATGGGAGTGCAAATAGCTAGTCTCTGCTTTGGCAACCAAGCCATGGTTTGAGTTCATGGAATCGACTTGCGACATGAAGCCAGTGCCGCATCTGACGTGAGTTGTCATCGTCAGCCTCTCCCCTGGTTGGCACGGTTTGAGATCGATTTCCCAATCTTGCCTCCATTCGCTAGTAGAAGGATCTTCTCCAGGTGGAATGAGCAAAATGCCATCAGTGCCAGAAACAAAAAGTTTTGCAGAGTTGACAAAATCAGTTCCGGCGTCGAAAGCCACCTGTATCTCTTGGTCCTGTCCCGGCACCAACGTGCTAGGCTCGATTGAAATCGAATGAGTAGGTTTACTTGGTAACACATCTACGCTTAGCATTGGCTCTTGCAAGTCCATGCTATCATAGTAGAAGTACCCTTGCTTCCAAACTAGTTCAATCGTAGACAGAATATAATGGCCAGCACTAGTGGGGGACCATTCAAACGAGAATTTGTTTTCTCCAGGATTGAGTTCTATCGGTACATCAATCGACAGAACCTTCGCGGCATCCTCCTCTTGCACAGCATCGCCGTTTGTAATTATGGCAGTAAAGTCATCGACAGTTAGAGTGAACAATTTCACCGAAGTTAATTGGATCGATCCAGGTAGATGACTCCTGATTGTAATTGGAATTAGTATTTTTTCTCCAACAGAACAGGATCTTTTTTCTACTCGTTTTTGGTCTAACATCTTCCCCATTTTTGAACTCTCAGATGGTGTTGAAATCGACAAAGATGTTTCAATGAACAATAGTCTGCTATACCTCGCATTCCCTATACTCGGGTGTTCGATAACTCTCAGAAGATCGTCGAACAGAGCTATGAGGGCTTTCTTTGGGGCAACAGATTTACTCCGCGGACTAAAGCAGGAGCACAACGTCTTCAAATAAGCTGTAGCTTCCACAGTTGTTCGCTGGCAATAAGCAAGGCGGAATATTCGCCAAAAATGAGCACGATCCCAATGATCTATCCTATACACTTTGACAATCTTCTGAAAGCTTGCTGAAGCCGAGTGGAAATCACCCTTCCTAACGTAATACTCTCCAATTTCGGATTGAATCCTTGCCGAAAGCCTGAAGTGCTTAGCGATGTGGCTTGTATCGATAATTGCACGACACAGCTTGAGATAAGTTTCTCCAAAATCATCCAAGGAATTCATTTGATCATTGGATGGCAATAGAAATTGTCGCTCCAGTGTTCCCGTCCCAAAAAAAGGGTTTTGTTCTAATCCTAGCGCCGGCTGCTTCGCCTCCCTTTCAGCTTCGTCTTCGCATGGCACCCATGGAGGCCAAGGCTGACCTAAATCCTTCGGTAAATGTTTTGGGCGCACGGAAAACTCTTCGGAGTTTCCAAAGTGATCATCTCCAAGTTCTATGAGAAATAATCTAGACACTTCTAGTATTTCACTCAACTTCGCAGCGACTTTCTCGTCACGTTCCTTCTCAGCCCTGTTGTCAGTGAGAGTATTTCTTCTCTCTGATGATTTCTGCGGTTGGCAATTCAGAAATTGACTCGTTGCACTGTAAATATCCCAAGAAAATTGAACCACCCATGATGCAGCCCTCGACATTCGTTCATGGTGTTCTTTCTCATCCAATTCCGATACCCCTCGCACTAGTATTGAGTACATGACTTTTATAAAAGATTGGCAACGTAACAACAACTCAACAGGATCCTGCATTCGAAAAAGCAATGATAATTCACGAGCAAACAAGTATCTTCGCATGACATCCAAAATTGCAGTCAAATCGTATTCGGATTTAATTTTCTTTCGAAATCCCAAAAAATCTCCCGCATCTGCGAGTTCAGCTAGATTCTGCGATGACTCATCTTCCATTAGAGCTTTTGATAGTCTACGAGCATGTCGAACCTTGCTCTCTTCTTTGTCAGTGAGGTCTGGCATGTACAAACGGAATTCATCGTATTGCAAAAGGGCTTCGCCTGGCAGTTGCATCTGTTCGTAAGAAGATGCCAGGGACTCTTTCACCAAAAAGAAATGACTGAGATTGAAGGCGTATGGGTTTGGTTTTTGCGGCTTGCTACTCATAGCACCTCCGCTTTCGTAATTTTTTGCTGCCGTAGCGGCGGTAGCACGCTGAGCGTCCAGACGTTTTAGCTCGTTTGTGTAACGCCGAATGCGATCTTGAAACCCATTCACAACGACTGTGCCCAACATTCTGTTAAAGACATGCCATTCCTGAACCATGATAGAAAGCCCTTCTTCCGAGGGGGGCGACCTATCCAAAGATCCCGTTGAAAGTACGGAAACCTTACCATTGGGAAAGTCTGTGACGATTTTTTTGTACAAAGATCTTTCGGTTTTTGATAGATGTTGCAGTGCCGAAAGTACATTGATAGGGCAAGACTCATCGCCATCTCCATCCGCATTGGGATCACCATTTATGAAGAATGCATCGTCACCGCTATCAATGGAGTTTTTACTTATCGCATCATCGTTTCTTCCATGCTCAGACATTGATCCACCTCCAAATCTTTGTCGCGCCATGCCGAGTAATCCCATCCTCCCGGTGTTATTATTCGTCTTGTTCGCAGTGGGGGTCGCAGGTTTTGGCTGGTACGAAATATTACGGCCGTCACCAACAGGGACATAGACAATCATATAATCGGCGGAATGGCCACCCTGTTGATTCGCGGTCGTATTCGAAGCAGTCGATTCAAGTTGAGTGGTGAATGCCCTTAAAGCAGGTCGAATTTTGTCCTTATAGTGGTCGAGATTTTCGCATGCAGCAATATAAACGTGACAGAATGGACCAGTGTGCCACTCGGATGGGTCACTAACGGGAGTCATGGCCGTCAAAGCCGCTCCGCCCCATGGAGTATTGGGATTGTCTGGAGTTGATGCTTCGGTGCTGTCTACTGTGCTGCCATTTCGAGTGATCACGGGGCGAACAGGTAACTTGCTGATAAAATTTGTTTCGCCTGTTCGCACGCTTTTATACTGAACTGATCGAAGAACTGATCCATAATCGCGCTCGAAGATGTAGGTGAGGTTTTCGTATACGTTTTCGACTGTCAACGACGCCGAGATTGATTTGCTGCTACCGCCTATTTTCTTTAGCACGCCTTTCTGCTGCTGAAGCATATTCTTTACTTTGCTTTTCGGACTATTTGAAGAAGATGATTCTGACGAAGATTCTGCTTTGGTGGTTGGGTCGATAAAATTAACGGTAGCAAAATATTTTGGCTTGTCCGAAGGTACTGCTCCTCCTCCGTCAACGGATGATGACGACGAAGAGGCGATGCGACGTTGTTCTCTAAAACGTTGAAATCCTTTAGCCAGGCTTTTGTATAAGACATTATCGATTTCGTTCACCTGATTGGAAATGAGCAACGAATCGAACTCATTGACTGTCTTCTTCTCCGAATCGTTCTTTCCTTTGCTCTCATTCGCCGTGTCATGGACCCCATTTTCACCGTTTCCGACATTGTTCTTGTGCTGCATGCTTGCTCTTCTTTCTTTCTTCTCGATTTGTTGCTTCGCATGCTCCATGGTCGCCCTTCTTTCTATCTTCAGCTGCTTTGCTCGTTCAGCGATGTTGCTCTCCCCCAAAGAAAAAAATCCAGCACCGCTGTTAGAGTTTGCAACGGACAACGAAGATGATGCCGTGTAGTTAAACTTCTGTTTCGGAGGGGTCCCTTCGTCCTTCGACTTTTTATCCGCCATGTCTTGTCTCTGTTCAATGGTGTTCAACCTTCTCCAGATAAATCCATGTGGTAAGAATAGGTAAGCGAAATAGATAAGCTCCTCGTTAAAGTTACGTGCCGGATGAGACACTGTACCTTACTACTTCGGACATGTTAGACTCGACGAGTTTCAGTGTCATTGAGATTCTCGCAGATGTACGTGTACGTTACGTTACTGTACTACTGAGAGTAATTTCAAAAAATAATCTTTGTCACCAGTCACACGAACAACAGACTTACAGTACAGGCCGGTACTGTACTCTACTTCAGTACTTATCTAATTCTTTTTCAAAAAATAATATTGAACGTCGCAAGTCCTATCCTCGTACTGAAACTGGTCCTCGTACTGATCTTAATGGAAAGGAAATTCTAAATGTACGAGAAGTTACCGTACTATCATAGCAGAGTTGTTCGGAAGGAACAACGAATTAGGCGGTAGGGTGCGGTATTATGTACCGTACCGTCATGTAAATACTGTACGAGTGCGTACGTACGGTACTGTTTAAATTTTTCATACGCGCACAACAACTAGCCAGGAGAGGAGGAACATACACGATGCGCGGTCATTTCTCATCTTTTTGCGAAAGATTTTTCAAAAAGGACGTTCGAGGAAAGGGTGATGATGTGTTTGGGGTTCGTACAGTGTTGGGAGGCTACAGAAGTACAGTACCGTATTGATCGTACTGTGCTGTAGGGCACTGGTACTCGTATCATACCAAGTGATTTGTTGTTTTCCCTATTTTGTATTTTGGTTTCGGCGCGCCAATGCCGCCAGTAGACAGTACTGGCGTATCCGTACCAGAGGTACGAAGGACCGAAAACTAGAACAATGTGCAGTACGCGAGTACTGTACCTCCTACGTACTACGAAGTAGTACAGCTCGTGGTTTGTAGTCAAACAATCATTTTTGTCGCTGCCAACAAGCGCGGAAGAATCAGAAACAAGGATTGTTGCTGATGCACATCGCAGAATAGAATTCGTTGGAAAAGGATATCATCGCACATTGGCAAACGCCGGAAAGTACGGTGCAACAAAGCCTATCTTCCGCGACGTTACCTTACGCTACGTCAAGCTACAGCCGTCCACTTCCAGAATGATCACTTCCTTCTTCAAGCCAAAGAGAGTCCGAGCTTCCGCCGGGAAAGAAAACGATTCCGGTGAACGGGAGGAGACGACCACCGCTGTCAAAAAGCTCAGGACGCACATCGATCCACCATCAAAAAAGAACGCGACCTTGTCCCCCGAGGCAAAGGAGCTGGTGTCTTATCTGAACCACACCAATACCGACAGCGATGATTCGTCGTCGTGGAGGGACGCCCTTGGGAAGCACATTTCGTCTCCTTCCTTTGACCGGCTTGCCACGTTCGTCGCCAAAGAACGGTGCGTCCTGAAGCCAGACCGAAGGACCTTTTTGATTGTTTCAGTGATTGGCACATTGCATGGCTTGCAGTGTACTGCGCCGTATCCMTGCGCTCTCACACCAGTGTTTCTCCTTTGCTCTGGCGGCTCTTTTTTGGTGCTATGCCATGCGTCTGTGTGTGTGCGCGATTGTTTGCGTGCTTGTTTGCGACAGAAACCAGAAAACCGTGTTTCCGCCTGTGGAAGACACTTTTGCCGCGCTGAACCTCTGCCCGCTCTCGAAGGTAAAGGTCGTGATCGTCGGGCAGGACCCCTACCACGGACCCGGGCAGGCCCACGGGCTCTGCTTCTCGGTGCGCCGGGGGGTCCCGGCGCCTCCATCGCTCCGGAACGTCTACAAGGAGCTCCTGAACGACGCATCGATCGAAAACTTCCGCTCGATCCCGGGCCACGGGAACCTCGAGCGCTGGGCACGGCAGGGAGTTTTGATGATCAACAACGTCCTGACGGTGCGGAGGGGGGAGGCCCACAGCCACAAGAAAAAGGGATGGGAAGCGGTCACGGACGAAATCATCCGCGCGGTCGACCGAGCCAACCGGCGGAAACAGCAAATCGCGGAGGGTGGCACGAAGCGGGGCGGCGTCGTCTTTTTGCTGTGGGGAAAGCCCGCCACCGAAAAGGCCACCACCGCCCTTGCGGGAGCAGCCTCTCGCCACACCATCATCTGCACCTCCCACCCGAGCCCCCTGGGGGCGACCAAGACCAAGTCACCGTTCCTGGGGAGCAGGTGTTTCGGTCGCGCCAACGAGGCGCTGCGGAAAATGGGGCACGAAGAGATCGACTGGCGCGTGGACGGGCCGCTGGCGCAGGAGTAGCGAGCGAAACAGCAGGAAATACCACCTTACTTGGAAGCTGGGTTGCGGGGGGGACGCAGCGAGAAGGAGCCTATTTTGGTTCCCGCAATCACTCCACGCCGTACGAAACAATTTATCGACTATCCCACTTCCACTGATGCAGGGCATCGCCCCGGTGCGTTCGATGCGACACGCTCCAAAACGGCTCCAATTGTCAGTCCTGTCTTTCCATTACCAAGCGGAAGTTGCTAGGCCATCCAAACAGCAAACGGCTAAAGATTTCTACAGCAATAAATAAATTGGTAGAAGTAACGAATAACGACTTCTGTTACCGGGTTACAAACGCCTCTCCAAATTGGCAATGCTTCCGTTTCATTGCTTCGGAACGTAGGCACATTCCTCGCAGTCCAGGGGCACTTCTGTGGTGTCGTGAAAGGCCGAGAAATCGATGCTCACCACCGGATCGAGGTTCGACGGTCCGCTCCGCTGCCTCCGGCTGTACGGGTGGACGCACTCCGCGAACCTGTGGTTCCATGTCATGTCGCAGAGCTTGTAGGAGTGGCGTGCCTGTGTGGCCGCCCCGGTCCCCTCGTCCGTCCCGTCTACCAGCACCACCACCTCCACGTCCCGATCGTACAGAAACTCCTTGATGCATCCTTCGTTGGCTTTCAGATAGTCCGGCGACGGGGGAAAACTGCGCTCGCCGTTGTTGCTGCTGCCGGTACCACCGGTCCCTCCCCCGCCAGGCGGGGGATACCGATGGGATTCCGATAAAACGTCGAACCAGAGCGGTGCCGACGGACACAGGGGCGAGGTTTCGTCGATCCGGTGCACGACGACCTGCGGCAGGCCCATCCACAGGTGGGAACCAAACCTGTCGTCGGGCTGCAGCAGCCTCATCTGTCGGCTCACAAAGGACGTCGTTTCGATGCGAAACGGCGCATCGCCGCCGGGGTGCTGCGGTATCCGCTCGTGCCGTATGCAATAGCACCGGACGGTTGCCTCGATCAGGTGGTGCTTGCGCCTTTCGCCGAGGCGGAACATCAGGTGGGGGACCCCCCGCACGTTTCGGACGATCGCCTTGTCGCTGAACAGAATGGACCGGCTCCGTTTCGCCCCCCGCGAGATCCGGTGGAAAATCAGGCCCACCGCCACGGCATCGAAGACGATCGCCGTGCAGATCTGCATCAGGACGATCAGCAGGGGCGAGTAACAGCCGCCAAAGTAGTAGTCCGACACGCCGTAGCCGATCGTGGTCATGGTGGAAAGGGAAAAGTACATCGCTTCCATGTGGTCGTTGATGTCTGCCGTGTGGTGCGGTGCGGTGTGGTGTGGTGTGGGCAAGCAAGCAAGCAGCACGTTCAAGCAAAGAAATCGCGGAAATCGGTCAGCACGGCTCGGGTCTCCCACACAGCACGAAAGAGAACGAACGAAAGGCGTCCCGGAACCCCACGACACCGGAAGGTCAGAATTCTATCTTGGCACGTACCCATGTCACAAAAGGCAATCGTCTTTGTGCTTCCGTCCGGATTCACTTCCGCCTTGCTTCCGAAGATAGAGAGCGACAGGTAGATGAACCCAAAGAAGCAGATGATCAGCGCGTAGGAACAAAAAAGCAGCAGGAAGAGGACCGCGGTTTTTTTGTAGGCCAGCCAGAAAAACCAGTCCTTCCCCCACTCTTGGTAGATTCTCCGGCGCCAGCAATACCATCTGCAAAAGCTGCGGCACGGGCCGTTTCCGGTTGTACCGCTCCGATCCCTGGGAGGTTCCGTTGCAAGCCTTCGTTCCACGCCCAGCCGACCCTTGGACTGCCGAAACATTCCGTTCCTATCGAGGATGCGTTGTTGCTGTGGTTGGAATTGTTCCTCCGGCAACTGGTACTGGCCTTCTACATCTCCGTCCTCGTCCTCCCCACTGGCCGCCGAAGATGACACAAGAGTGGTAGAACGGTGACGCAGCTCGGACAGGTTGCCGCCGCCGTTGTTGCTGTTGTTGCTCTCGAAGGACGGCGACGATGACAATAGCGGTGCTCTCATCCTTTCGAAGACCTGCTGCCCGCCGTCCTCTGCTTCCTCCTCCGCAATCGGAAATTCTTCTGCGAACCGGTTCGATCGTCTCGCCATGTTGATCACGCAAGATTCAAGGCCGGTGGTTGTTACCGTCTTTGTTGTGCGTGTTGACGGACCGAAGATTTGTTGATTGATGATGTTGTGATGTTTTTTTCGGAACGAACAGAATCGTCGGATATTCGAATTATCACTAGTGCAACCGTTGTGACTTGCAGCGGTATGACACCCGCAACAGTCTTCGTTTGTCGCGAAGTACCACTGCAGTCCGTGCTGCTACTGTATCGTATGGTATTAGAGTATGAGTTTTATGTAAGAATGCTTGTTTCAACAGTAACAAACAGTAGGACGCACGGTACCATAAGTACTATGACTTTACCAACGTACCGTACGTACGTACCGTAGCAAAGGACAGAACGCTGCGAGGAAAGGACCTCGTCGAAAAGAGCGAACACAAAACATCACCAACAAACAACCACAACCCCCGTCACACCTGGCAAAAATCAGGCGGGTGCAAACACAAACCATTCGACCCCACAAGTCTCGAACCAATTGGTGTGCTGCCATCGATACGCAGAAACCTTGCTCCCACAAAAAGCCAAAAAAAAGAACCAGAACGGCCGCGATTCCGCATCGCAGGAACTCTTCGCAAAGAAAGCAAACCCAATCGCAACGCCGCCCGCCACGCGCACAGCCCACGGCGAAAACACACCCAGCATCGCTGCGGCCGATACCATTCGACTCGGCCCACAAACAAACCCCAAAACAAAGACGCACACGCCACAATGGCCGGGACAGCGGGACTCGCCCGAGCGGCCGCTCGGTCCCTGGGGTTGCCACTGTCATCTCCCGCGGCGCGAAGCGTCCCCCGGCGGGCCTTCGGGGTCACCCCCCTGGGCAGCCTCCCGATGAAGGCGGGGACGGAGCTCGAGAGCCTTTCCATCTTCAAGGGCCAGCCGGCCCCCGTCGTCGCCGAACGGGCCGAGTACCCCTCCTGGGTGGCCGAGCTCCCGACCCCCCAGCCGAGCCTGGCCGCCCTGAGGAAAATCCCCAACGAGGAAGCGGACCTGGACCAGATCAAGCGGTACCTGAAGCTGACCCGTCGCCAGGCGGTCCGCCAGCGGAACGAGGAGTCCGCGGCCTAGGCGGAGCGGAAGGGGAGCAAAACGCACGAACAAAGCAAAACAAAACAAAACAAAACAAAACCAAACAAAACAAAGCAGATTTCTTATGGTTTCGATCCCAACTCGCCTTTCTTCTTCCGTGGCATGCTTGCCCTGAGGAGCAACGTGCAAAAGTTTTCGATGCCGTGTGCGGTGAGATTTAGTGTGTTGTACCATGCTACCAAAGCAGAATCGAAGATAAGGTAATCAGCTTTTAAAACTATTATAATCAATCCATTCCATTCCATTCCAAACGTCGATTGATGGATTCGTTCGGGCGGGCGGAGAAGAGACGATTGTTGGGTTTCTGCTGCCATCGGTGTCCTCGGTTCTTTGAAGCCTGTCGGTCCAAACAGGGATCGAACCGAACCATAGCCGATTCCCCCCCGCAGGAAACCGCAGCGATTCCTGCTAGAAACGCGGCGAGCACAGCACGCACCGCTCCTTGCTTCCGCCGGTGGCGTTTCGTTCCCCACTCGTTTCCGCCAATGGTCCGTGGCCGCGGCGTCTGCCTCGCCGTCGATGCCGCAGCAGCTGCAGCAACAGCAACCCTGCCGCCGGACCCGGGACGCTTGCTGCTTCCCTGGATCGCATCGGGACCCGGAACACGAACGCACCGTCCCCCTTTCGCCGGATCGTTACTCGTCTCGTCTGTCCTTCGCCCAAATGAACCGAGGGTTCGTGCGTCTCCCGGAATGGAACGCGCGCCAGCTTTTTTCCCGCCGGAATTCCGTGCGCATCGTAGCGGAAGGTACGCACGACCTCCCGTGGACATTCCAATCGCATGGTTGCCTCGTTGCTTGTACGTACCGTACCGTAACGTCCGTACGGCTGTGTACACATATTCTGTTCTACTGTATGTTGGTTCTCGGGCTTGGATGCTTTTTTGCTTCCTTCTCTGGAAGCGATAGACACAGCGTTTTCTTTCCTACCGCACTGCCCCATTGACTTGCAGCCCGTCGACACCGCAACTAGTTCCAAGACCCGGGCAAGGCAGAACACAGGACAGCAGAACACAGCTCACGCACAGCTCACACACAGCTCACAAACAGCGCAAAGCGCACAAACGGCACACCATGAGCAGCGGCACCCTCGACGGATGGCTGTCCGCGAAAAAGACCAAGAAGGAAATCGCCCGGGATTCCAGTCGCGCCAGGGACGCACGGAAGAGCCAGCGGAAGAAACCGGTCTCCTGGACGCCGGACGAAAAGACCTCCGGGAAGGGGCGATCCGCGGGGCGTTCCAAGCCGAAGAAACACTACGGATTGGACGACGACGACGACGACGACAGCTATTTCCTGAACGACGACGTAGATGAAGAGGTCGTCCCGTCCGAGAGCGAGGAAGAGGAGGACTTTGACTTTGACGAGGAGGAGGACGAGGAGGACGAGGAAGATCTGGTGCACGACGACGACGACGACGACGACGAGACCGACGACGACGACAAGGGCTACGGGGGTGGCAGAAAAGCAGCCGGGAGGGCCCGGCCCGGGGCCGGTGCGCCTCCCAGCGACGACGACGACGACGACGACGACGACGACGAGAGCGATTCCTTTCTCCCCACCGGGAGGATCCGGCCGAGCGTCCCCTCCAATCTGCTCCGGGCCAACGCCAGGGCGGCAAAGAGGGGCTCCGGGCTGGAAGCCCACAGCCGCTCGGTGGTTGCGAAAAAGGCGAGGACGAACGCCGGAGGCTCCCGGGTGCGGCTCCAGGCACCGGCGCTCAAGGCCCCCGGGCCCCTTTCCTCGGCGGTTCGTTCCAAATACGACCACGACGACGACGACGACGAGGAACTGACGTCGCCCCAGTACACCCCAAAGAAGGCGCACCGCGGCAAGAGCCGGCCGAATCTGGACGCTGCCTACGACGAGCTCTTTTCGTCCGACGAAGAAAACAGCCACAACGGCAACGGCAAGCGCAGCGCCTCCCACAAAAAGGCCGCCGGCGCCGGCAAGAAGGCCGGCCACCGCGAAAGCACGAGTTCCGGCTATTTCACGGCGTCCGCGCGGGCCAGGCCGGTGCTGTGCCTCGACGACTTTAGCAGCGACGACGACGACGACGATGGCGTGACCGGCGGGAAGGCAAGGAACCAAGGCGGGGGCCGCAGCGCGCTAGAAGACACCCCCGAGCCACCGGGGGGGAACCGCCGCCTCCCGACCAAGAAACCGGGAAAACCAAAACCGAAAAAGGCCATTGCGATCCACGATTCCTCGGACGAGGAGGAGGTCGTGCGCATCGACCTCTGCGACGACGACGACGACGAGGGTTTTGACGAAGACACCCGGGTTGCCATGAGGCTTTCTCTGCAGCACCATCAAAGACAGAAACAGAAACAAAAACAAAAACCAAAACCAAAACCAAAACCGAAAAAAGCAAAGGCAATCGACGTGGACGACGACGAGGAGGAGGACGCAAAGGTCGAGGCGCTCCTCAACGACTCTTCGGAAGACGAGGGGGACGACCCGGGCGGCGAGGACTACGTCGACGAGGAAAAGGAGACGGCGACCTCGGTGCTGAGGACGGCCGAACAACTCAGCCGCCACGTGGTGCGCGCCATGAGCGGGTGGTTCGAGAACGGCAGCGGAAGCGGAAGCACCGTCCAGGGCATCATCGCCGACGGAGCCGTGGCGCTCGGGAACGCGGAGATCCGAGACCAAAACGAACACGGGAGCGGAAGCGACGCAAGCGGCCACCGGTGGATCGGGCCCTCGGTCATGAAGCAGGCCTGTCCGAAGGTGACCCTTTCCCCGTACCAGCTGGTGGGGGTCAACTGGATGGCCCTCCTCAACGGGATGACCTGCGAGGTCGGCACCAAGGGGACCAAGAACGTCAACGGGGTCCTGGCGGACGAGATGGGACTGGTGCGTGGCTAGACGGGGTTTGGTTGGGCATTGCTTTTTTTTCAAAGCCGAGCGTGTTCTGACCGGCATGTTGTTTGTTTGCTTTTTTTTTTAAAAAATGCCTAGGGGAAAACCGTGCAGACCATTGCCTTTCTCGCGTGGCTGAGGCACCGCCGACGGAAGGAGGCAAAGGGGAGAGAGACGCTCCCCCCGCTCCCCCACCTAATCGTGGTGCCGGTCTCAACCCTCCCCAACTGGAAGCGGGAGTTTGAAAAGTTCTGCCCAAGCATGAACGTCATGACCTTTTACGGATCGCAGGTGGAACGGGAGTGCATCAAGAGCACCCTCGGGTCGTACCTTCCGAAGAACCGCCACCTAGACCCGCCGGTGGAGCCGGAGCTCCACGTCATTCTGGCTCCGGTGTCCTATTTTTCCAAGGAGAACTCCCCGGACCGGAAATTCCTGACCAGGTTCAATTACGACTACATGTAGGTATTTGGATTGGATTTTGTGTCGTTGCATCGCACCGGCGCGTTCGAGTGAGGATCCCCCTTTGTTTCTTCGACGTTCGTATTCTTTGGAAGCTCACAAACATTTGCCGTTCTTGTTTTTCATGTTTGCGCGCATCGATGCACGGTCCAGGGTTGTGGACGAAGCCCACAACCTAAAGAACGCAAAGTCAACGAGGTATAAAATGCTGGACAAGGTCAGGACCGAGCACCGCTTGCTTCTGACGGGGACACCGGTGCAAAACAATCCGCAGGAGCTCCTGAACATGCTCTCTTTTATCATACCCCTCTTTTCGAAAGCCGGCGCGTCCTTCGAGGAGAAAGACAACTACACGGAACAAATGCTGAAACACTTTGTCGATGCCTCGGTGGAAGACGAGGACGAGCAAGCGGCCTACAGGAAGCTCAAGCAGCTCTTTGCCCCCTTTGTCCTGCGCCGCAAGAAGGACGACGTCATCCACCAGATGCTCCCCAAAAAGGAACGAAAGACCGTCTTTGTCGAGCTCTCGAAACCCATCCGGTCGGTCTACGATTCCATCATCCGGTCGCACTTTGAGAAGAACGGAACCACCGTGAACCCCGGAACCGGAGAGCACCTGTTCACGAACCTGCGGAAGTGTGCCCACCACCCACTCTTGCTCCGCAACCGGTGGAACACCACGGAGGAACGAGACCGCCTCATCGAAGACCTTATCAGGTTCGGTGCGTTCAGGGGCGAAGCGTGCACGAAGGGAAGGGTCGGCGAAGAGATCAAGTCCTGGAACGACTTTGACATCCACCGTGAGTCGCATTATGGCTGTTGTTGTTTTTGTTTTTGTTCTTGTTTTTGCCGACTCGAGTTGCCCGACTGCTCGCTATTTCGTGCCACCGATATCGAATCCTTCCTAACCGCCCGCGTGTTTTGTTTCTGTATGCTTTTCAAGTCACCGCTCTGAATCTCATTGACGAAAACGAGCACCGGAGGCCGTTTCTTCAGAAATACGTTCTGGACCAAGAGGATCTCTTCGATTCCACCAAGTTCGATCACCTCCGCGGACTGCTGCCGCGGCTGGTCAAGGAGGGACACCGGATACTGATTTTCTCGTCCTGGACGTCGTGCCTCGATTTGCTCGGCTGCCTGGTGGAGTACCTCGGGATCCAATTTCTGCGGATGGATGGGAGCTGCCCGTCGAAGGAGCGCCAGAGGCTGATCGATCTGTTCAACAGCGACCCGTCCCACTCGGTCTTTTTGCTGTCGACCAAGGCCTGCGGCCTGGGGATCAATCTCACCTCGGCCGACACGTGCATCCTCCACGACCTCGATTTCAACCCCTTCAACGACCTGCAGGCGGAGGACCGGTGCCACCGCATCGGCCAGAAAAAGCCGGTCACGGTGTACAAGCTCATCACGAGAGACTCGGTGGACGAGGACATTTTCAAGATGCAGGAAAAGAAGGTGCGGAAGGCTGCTGCCCGAAACCGCAAGCGTGTATTTTGTGGTGCATTTGTTTCGTTCTCTTTGGTTTGTTTGTTCTCACACTGCGAATGTTTGTGTTTGCTACCTCTGTTGCCCGGAATTGCGATGGGGTACGGTTTTGGGTGGTGCGATGCAACTCGATGAAACGCAACGCAACGCAACGCAACGCAACGAAACGAAACGAAACGAAACGAAACGCAACGCAACGCAACGCAACGAAACGAAACGAAACGAAACGCAACGCAACGCAACGCAACGAAACGAAACGAAACGAAACGCAACAGGCAAAGATGAACGCCGCCATTATGGACCCGGCGTCGTCGAAAAAGGAAAAGAACGCGATCCTCAAGTCCGTCCTGGACCGGGCGTCCAGGGCGAGCAACGACGGCGGTGGGGAGATGGTGCAGTGATCGGGGGGAACGAAACCGATGCGAATCAACCCGATGTGCTCGAGGAGAATGCTAATGGAATGCTTTGGACGCCGGTGTTGTCACACGCGTTCTACGAGAAGCATCCTCTGCGCGGATTCCAACGATGCGAGGGAAGCCGAATATTTCTGCGGGCTGCGTTTTGGCAAAACACGGCGAATTCCCTGTTAATCATCCAAGTCCATAAAAGAGTGACACAACGTTTGCTTACACTACAGTAGTTAGGATGTGCTTCGCCTCCACGGCAGGCCGGAATACTTTTTGTTGAAACACTTTTGTGCTGGCTAATGGTTATGCTATGGAAACGGTCGGCCAAGAAAGCGGACCGCGTGCCCGCGATCGGATCGAAACGTGGGGTCCTCGGCCTACCGCGCCTGGGACTCGTCCCAGATCGTCTTGGCCTGGGTCAGCGCGTCGAAGATGCGCTTGGCCAGGAATCGCTGCTCCGCCGGCAGGTCCCTCGTCTTGTCGGGGTGGACCACCAGGGTCGCCTTGAAGTAGAACTTCTTGACCTTGGCCGGCTGGAGGATGTCTCCGATGCTGATCGGCTTCCACTTGGTGCCCGGCCACAGGATCGTGTGGAGGCTCCCCAGCAGGGCCTGGAGCTGCTTCTTTTTTCCGTGTTCCTCGGACCAGGCCTTGATCTTTGGCTCGAGCTGGGCCCGTATCGCGTCCTCTTCGTCCTCCATTCGTTTCTTCTCGGCCTCCCGCTGCTTGACCTCCGCCACGGCCTTTTGCCGGGTCGCGTTCATCTCGTTGACCCGCTTCTGCATGGCCTGCTGGACCTTGGCGCTCTTTCCCGCCGCGTTGGACATGTCGAGCTTGACGCCGACCTCCTTTTTCTTCGGCCTGGCGGCAGCCGCCGCGGCACCGCTCCGGGCCGCTCCCGCAGCCGGCTTCTCGACCCACCGCTGGTCGACGTCGTCCCAGACCCGGTTGTTCTGCTTCATCCGGGCCTCCTGCTCCCGCTTCAGCCGCTGGGCCCTGGTTTCGTTCGGGGGCGGCGCCGCGGGCATTGCCGACGGCGCGTGGTGCACCGCTCTCCGCGCCGGGGCCGCCGACGGGGCGTCCCCAAAGTCCATTAGGTTTGCAGCGGCGGGTGCCGGTGCCGGCCTTCCCCGGGGCTGCCCCGCGGCCGGTGTCGCCCGCTGGGGCGGCCGGGCCCGGCTCTGGGGAGCGGCCGCGCGGGAAGCAGCGACCGGGGTGCGGGCCTTGGGTGCCGGACGGCGGGCCCGGGGAGGTGGCCCCGCGGGGGGAGCCCCCCCGTGCTTTCGGTTGTAGTCGTCGTGGATCTTGTTGAGGTCCAGCATCTTGACGACGATCACCGAGACTGGCGGCCCGTGGCTCTCGGCCCCACCCTCGTCTCCGATGGCACTGGCCATGGCCTTCCCCATCATCTTGAAGGCCCCCTTCGCGGCCTTGGTGGCGCTGTCCGTGGTGCTGCCCCCGCTGCCGCTGGACTTCGACGGGAAGAGGAGCTTGCGGAGCTCGTGCTGCGAGGTTTCCTTGACGGGGAGCTTGGCGCTGCCGTCCTGGATGTCCCACCAGCTAAAGGATCGTTCTCCCGTGGCGTTGGGCTTGTCTTCCATCATGACCCGGAAGTGAAAGCCCTCCGGTCCGAGCGTGCTCAGTGAATGGGCGGCAACGCAGTGCCTGGGCGGGGGAAACGAGCGTGCGAGCAAGCAAGAAAACACAAAAGCGACGGGCGGATCGAATCGAATCGAATCGAATCGAATCGAGGAAAGGCAAAGCAAGGCAAAAGCGTAAGATTAACATCAGTCAATCGGGGAGCACTTCTGTTCGTCGTGCATGACGCCTCGCGCCGCCCCACCAAATCCCGGTTTGGATCGGAAGGGAAGCCGGCGTGCCCCGAAACGAACAAAACGAAACTTACTGCTTGATGGAGTTCAGGGTCGGACCGGAACCGTAGGCCATTTGGAAGCAGTTGTAGAGGCCCCCGGCCCGGTCGGATTCCGAGTTGATGATTTTGTAGAGAACCATGACGGAGTCTCCTCTGCCGCCCGGGTGGTATCCGTTCCGAGACATGGTGGATGTGAGTCGATGTGGAAGGACGATCAAAAGAAGAGGTGTCTGGCGTATCGAGTAGAAAAAAAATCGGCTTGCTTGCGGTCTGCTGCTGCGGACGAGAAAGAAAAAAGAAACAAGAGAGGGACGAGCTGCCGTGAGACAATCGGCCGTTCCGTACGGGCGACGGGTTGTTCCGTCGCTTCGTCGGAGACGAAGACGAACGCGAGCCTACGGCAAGCACCAACGTGCAAGCAAATAATTCCGAAGTGCTGCGGTGCTCCTCCTCGCTTCGCCTTTCCTTTCCTTGCCTTGCCTTGCCTAGCCTTACCTTATCGATTCGGAATGTATTCAAGCAGCTGTGGTGCACTATTAGCAACCGATTGTGGATGAAGAAACAAGGCTACTACAAAATCAGCCAGAGAGGATATGAAATATGAAATACGGCACTTTCGCTCGGTACTCGCCTCGTACTACGTACCGTACTGCTCTCAGCTCGTAACCTAGCATCGTACGTCCATACGGTACATCAATCGTACCGTCATAGACGATGCCGCCGTACAGAACGCTACGGGTACTCGTACTTTGTGTCTGTGACCTTGCTTCGTCATTAATAGTAGTGACACTACGTACTATTGCGAATGAACGGGTCCCGTGTGGGAAAATGCCAAAATAATTTTTTCCCAAATCGATCCGTTAGAATTTTTTTGCGTTCAAACGAAACGACTAGAGGAGGCACAATAAATTCCTCTGCGAAATTTTTAGGCCTTCTTTTGGGAAGAGGAATCGAGAGATCTCCCCCTAAAGACAAGTACTCGTTATGAATCGAATGAATCAATCAACCCAAATATCCCGCGGGAAACGTCTGGGGATTTTCTTCGAGACTTGTTTCGCCGAAATCAGCGTACGGTACAGTACTTTACAGCACGTGTAATACGTTCGTAGAGTACTGCAGATCGCTTGTACAAGATAGTACTTTGTAGTACTAGTTTGTTGTCTCTTTGCGGTCCTGCACGGAAATTAGCGGTACGAACTTTGCGGAGGTTTGTGTTGTGCTGCTTTTGAGCAGCACCAAGTACATTCGATGAGCGATGTGCTCTGGCGGACCATGGCCTGGCATTTCCATTTCCATTTTCATTTCCATTCGCACTCGAACTCGAACTCAAAATCGAACCCACGGTGATCGAATCGGCTACCTGCCCCTTGCGGTCGTCCGCCATGACGGCAAAGGCCACGGGCGGGTGGCTCACCCCGAAAAAGCGCGGAAGGGACGACGAGGCCATCGCGAGGGACCGGGCCGAAGCACGGAGGAGGCGGCGGGACGAACCGAAAGGCCACCGAACGGGTGGCCTCTTTACCGATCGAATCGGAAAAAATCCCGGGAACTGTGACAACGATAACGACAACGGTATCGTCGTCGACCCGCTGGTCCGGAGCCTCGAGAACCACCGGCGGCTCCGAAAGCTCAGGGAGGAAAAGAGGCACCCGAGGGTGTCCCGGTCGCTCTTTCCGCGTCCCGGCGGGAGCCCGGAAGGCCGGAGAGGCGGCAGCGACAAGCGCAACACCCAACACCAACGCAGCGCACCGGCGGCGCGGGGCGGGGATTCCGCCGCAACCATTCGGCGGTGTGCACCCGGGAACCGATCCAGCAACAAGGGCAGCAGGAAGACCAACCGCAACGGAGGCGGAACGGGCTACCCGAGGAGCGCGATCGCGAGGGTCACCCCCGACTGCGCGGTCGATGCGGGCTCCGAGCGGAACGCGGCCGCCGGCACCCACCGAGGTGCCCGGCGCAAACGCAGCCGTTCCCAGCGGGACGCCAGGGTCCTGTTTCCGGACCGGGGTGCCCTGGGCCGGGAAATGCGGCGCCACCGCCGGACCGGAAACGACCAACACCACCGGCAGCAGAAACCAACGCACCACGATCGGGCGTCGCCGAACGATTTCGCCCCGTGGTTGGGCTTGCGGACAGACTTTGCCAGGTCGGCAAGGCACCTCTGCGAGTCGAGCCACCGGGGAGGGGTGGTGACCCGACCAACGCAACTCAGAAACCACTCCGAGAAGCCGGGATCGATCGATCGCAACACGGGGGATGCGATTGCGAGGATCCCGTTCGACGAGCCGGTATCGTCCACCACTGCGGCGCGGCATCTAGGTTTGCCACCCACCTTGTCCCAAAAGGCTCCACCGACCCCTAAGCGACCCGACGAGGTTTGGTCTGGCCCCCTGTGGAAGGAGGTGGCTTGGCACGAAGCGGATGCGGACCGGGGGCCTCTGTCCGACGAAAACGAAAACGAAACCCGCGACTGCACCAACAATCCGACGAACAACCACGACAACAAGCCAAGCGACGACGAGTCGTCGGCGGCGTCCTCCTTGATCCTTTCGCTCCCCCGGAACGCCGCATGGTCGTCTCTCGGAACGCCGTCCGGCGGGGAGGGCGGGCACGAGAACGAAGCCGGACCGCCGCTTGCCCCCGGGTTTGACGGGCCTCCGGCCCCCGGCGACCCCCTCTCCGACGCAGGGTGCTGGCGCCGGCTGCAAGAAGCCGAGCAAGCCACCGAAGGGGGAATGGCGTTCGGAGCCACCTCCTTCCGGCACGCGCTGGCGGGCCTCGTGCTAGCCAAGCAGCGGGCCGGGCCGGGAGCGGGCCGGGGACCCCTCTGGCTGCCCTCCCTCCTGGAGGGGGGCGTCTCCGGGAGGGGCCTCTTTGGGAGGACCGAGCGCGGTGGGCACGGGAGCGAGCACGGCAATCGCGACGAGCACGAGAACAGCGACGGCGACGAGTGCGGCGACGAGTGCGGCGGCGCTCCGGGGGCCCCCGAGTCCCAGCTCTGGAGCGAAGGCCGCGAAACAAGAGCAGCGACAGCGACAGCGACAGCAGCACCGGATTCGATCCGGTCTTCCGGAGCCCGGGCACAAAGACCCGGAAGGCCGGCATCGTTGACGGGGGAGAGGGGTGCAACGGACGTTTCGTAGCTGGTTGAGAGAAGTCCTCGAAACGACAACTCCCGTGGCACGTTTCCCACAAACCGAAATGCCTTGCTGTTTTCCCAAGGAACCTCCCGGCATGGTGCTGGGTGCATTCCAGGACCCGGGCAGTATTGCTTTCTTGCAGGCATCGATGCCCTCGACCGGATGAATTTAAGAACCGCGGGCCTGTCTGTGGAGATTTGAAAGCGCTATTACTACTACTTCTATTTATTAGGAAGCTCCTCCTACTACTCCCAAATGGGTTGATCTACTTGACTTCTTGTTCTCCTTTCTGCTCCAGAACAAACAGCAACAGCTGGCTGGTGAGCCACTTTTTCAATGCACGCTAGAGATAGTGAGTTTTTTGTGTATGCCTTCGCATCTAGTACACGTTCGAAACAGAACGTAGTTCACTTTCTCGGACCTCCGCTTCTAGTAAGTACTCGTCGTTGCCCTCTGTAGATTCCAGGACAAATCCCGTAACTTCTTTTTTCTGGGTGACCAGAAGAAAGGAGTCGAGAAATCTGAAGTCCGTAGTTTCTACCGGTAAACGTGTTGGTTTTGGCGCGCGAATTCCTCTACATAACACACCGTACCGTAGAATATTTATGCCCATCAATAGACGCACCTCAAAATCCGTAACAATTCGTTCTCTTGATGCCTTGTGTCTTTTTCTGGTTGGATCTGGTATCGCTTTGGATTGCTTCCATTTTCTATTCGTTCTGTCCTTCCTTGGGCAGGCCTCGCCCACCCTTCGACGCACGCTCCTACACAAGGTTTTCACCAAATGGCGGGACGGCACCTCCACCGCTCGGTGCTCGGGGTGGCACGACGCGGATGCGCAGCAGCAGCAGCAGCAGCAGCACACGGACGGCCCCTTGCGTCGGAGACACCACGCGCCGCTCGTACAGCCGGCGCTTGTGCGGGTCGGTCCTACCACGAGGTGTCCTTTTCCCGGTGCTCGGCGGACCCCTCGGAGGTCCTGTCCTACCGGTCGGACCCCTCGATCGGCGACCGGGATCCCCCGGGGTGTTCCGGCGACGCCGGGACGCCGCAGACCACGCTGGTCCGCGTCGAGATGGAACACGTCCCGTGGAACCCGGCGGACGCCAACACGGTCCAGGGCCGGTACCCGTCGCCGTACCTTGCCCCCCACGGGCCCCCGGTGCCCCCCACCGGGCGGTACTTTTCCAAGGACCCCGTGGCCGGGTCGGAGGGCTGGGGCAGGGTCGCCCACCCGGTCCCGCTCCCCTTTCTCCCGAACGGGACGCCCGTGGCCCTCGGCCTCCCGGGACTCGGGACGATGCGGTCCTCCCTGTGGGTCCCGGCAAGTGCCCTCCTGCCCCTCCCGGGTGCTTTCGGGGCCGCCCTGGGGCCCGCGGGGGCCTCGCTGGTGCAGCTCGGCGGAACCGCCCTGAGGATGCTCTCGGGCTTTGTGCCCCTCGGCAAGAACGGAAGCGGCAGCAGCGTGGTGCTGCAAAACGCGGGGAATTCCGGGGTTGGGTTTCTGGCCAGCCAGATCGCCGCGTCCTCGCTGTTCCGGGGGGAGGACCGGGCCGGGGGCGCACCCGTCATGGTCAGCCTCGTCCGCCGGGGCCGGCGGTCGGAAGAGTCCTTTGCGGAAGCGGCGGGGGTCCTGGAGCGCGCCGGAAAGAACGCGTTCGTGGCAGCGGAAGAAGACTTCTTTTTGCCCGGCGACGCCTGCGCGAAACATAGGATCGTCGACCGGGAGGCGGTCCGAGCGATGAAGGAGCGGCTCCGGGCCCTCTCCCCCGACGGGTCCCTCCCCCGGCTGGCCCTGAACGCGGTGGGAGGGGACAGCGCGGGCCTCCTGCTCCGGCTCCTGGAGCCCGGTGTGGGCAGCACCCTGGTGACCTACGGGGGCGTTCCCGGGGCTCCCGTGTCGGTGCCGACGCCCTCCCTGGTCTTTGGCGGCGTCCGCGTGGAAGGCTACTGGCACTCGCGGTGGATGGCGGGGGAGCACGCGAGGCAACGCGACCGCGGCAGCGACGCAAGCAGCGACCACGGAAGGATGCACAGCCCTTCCGTGGAACAGCTGGTGGAAACCCTGTCGGGGCTGGTCCTAAACGAGGGCCTGGAGTGCCCCCCCGCCAGGGTGGTGAAGCTGAACGACCTGGAGGAGGGCCTGCGCTGGCAGAGCGACCTTGGACGGACGCTCGATGGACCCTTGCTCCGGACCAAGCTGGTCTGGGACTGCCGGGAGGAAGGAGCGGACCGTGCGGGCTAGGCCGCGACGGGGACGACGGCACGGAAGCAAACATAGCGGTGACAAAGAAATACAAGCCATAGTAGTTGTGAACAGTAGTAGTAGTAGTAGTTATATTTTACAAGAGTACACGGTGTTGGATTGCTTCGTTCGGCGACGGCCGCCCCCTCCGAAGACGGACGGAGGCACCGCAATGGCTGCCTGCCGGCTCACTTGCGCTGCTTCTTTCGGTTCCGGCCCCCGCTCCCCGATCCCCCGGCCTCGCCGCTCCCGGGCGAGGCCGCCCCGACACCGCCGCTCCCCACCTTTTGGCCGACGTAGGTGTTGAGGGTGGCAAAGACGTCCGTGGGGATGGCATCGACGTTGATCTCGATCTTGTACCTGTCGTTCCCGCAGGTCTCCAGGGCCTCCGGGCACTCGAGCTCGCAGGCCGCCAGGACGTGCCCCAGCTCCGTCCCGCCCAGCAAAAAGAGGTTGCTCCCGAACCGGGCCCTGGCGTCGAGGGCGGGGGGCGGAGCGGAAGCCCCCGGAGCGGACGGGGACGACGAAGCGTGCCCGGATCCCGACGACCTGCCGGACCGGGAGGCCTTGGAAGGGTGGCCCCCGCCGCTGGCCCCCCCGGCGTCCCCCCCGTCCAGGGTTTCTCCCACGTCGTACTCCTGCCGGATCTTCCGGTACCGGTCCTCGAACCGCCGGGCGTAGGACTTGGCCAGGAGCCAAAAGTCCGACCCGTCCGCGTTGTAGGTCATGCAGTTCCTCCAGACCAGCCGGATGTCCTCCGCCACCTGGTGCGCCGTGGAGTAGTGGCCCCGTTCCAGGCGCCTCTTGATGGTTCCCAGGTCCATCATGGTCTCGATGACCTGCGGGTAGTCGAAGAGCTCCAGGCCCCTCCAGTCGACGGGTTCCCGGAAGGGGGCGCAGTCCTCGTTCGCCAGCAGGGAATTGACGATCTTGGTGATCCGCTTCACGGGTTCTTCTTGACCGGGGGCGGGGGGCATGGCGGAAACAGATCGGATCGCTGTGGTTGCGCAGAATGTGCAGAGCAAGTGGTGTGGTGTGGCGTGGTCTGGTGTGGTGTAGGAAGTTTGCGTGCTCGAAGAGTCGGTGCTGCTGGTTCTTGTTGTAGCAATCGGGTTGGATTTGAACAAAGCTGCCTTTCAGAGCGTCCTGAATCAATGCGGGCTACGCTACGTTACGTTACTGTAATATCGGTTGTTTGATGCCGCAGCCGGTGGATGGATCGTCAACAACCAGCACCGATTGAGCAGATTTATTCGCACGAGTACGAGTACGAGTACTTTGTACTGTTCGTTCCAGTGCTAGATTGACCAGTACGAGTAATTCATCGTACTCCTCGAAGGGGCAAAGCTTACGTAGGTACACGTAGTACTGGTACCACATTCCGCAGCACTACAAGCTACGACGCAAAGCAACGCCCGGTAGTACGGAGATTAAGTGGTGCAAGAGGTTGCCAAACGCAATCTGGTGCGTGGACTCTCTGATACGAAGAGAAAATATCGAACTATTGTAAATTGGAAAGTACCAAAATGCAAACGCATCGGTTGTTTTGACCACTTTACTGCGGTGTGCGTCACTCCTTGACTTGCTCCGATAGGTCCACACCTTTTTTGTTGATCAAACTAAGGCAATTACAAGTAACTAATTAATGGTTTATCATGGATTGGGCATGGTGCACGTTGTGAATGGATGGTGAGCATCGGGGTTCGGAAGGAGTTTCCGAAAAAGTTCTGTGCACCAGCGCTCTATCGTAAAAGCAGGCTCGGCTAGGCTAGGCTCGGATCGGTTCTAGCGTCCGACATGGCTAGCGCGCCGAGTGAATGTTCTATGTAGTGTGTACGAGACTCGTGCAGGCGATTCGGTATCTTGTGGTAGAAGAAGCCTCGGTGTTTGAATCGCTATACCGCGTTGCACATTGACTATGGTACTGCGGTACCGTTTGGCCAGAGGGTGTTAGCTTTTTCATTCTGGGCTTGTGCGCGTTTGGTTCTTGGTTGGTGGGTCGTCTCGTGACATGGTTTTCGCGATTGCAATTGCAATTGCAATCGCATCAGGCCGCGTTTTCCTTGGTTCCTTCGGCGCCGCTTCCTCTCCCGACAAAGCCCTTGTAGTAGTGGTTGGCGCTCCCGAGCCAGCGGCGGAGGCCCCCGGGGGGCTGGCCGCGGGCCTCCCACCGCTCGGCGCAAAAGGCCCCGACCTTCCTCCCGGCGGCCCCGAGGCGTTCCCCGACAAAGCCGCGGAGCTCCCGCATGGCCACCTGGCCGTGGTCCAGCTTGGTGCTCCCCGCCTCCGCGGCCTCCTCCACGTTTTTGGCCACGCGCGAGCGGACCACGCCCGATCGCTTCCGGCCCTGCCTCAGGACCGCACCGGTCGAGGCCCGGAGGGTTGCTCCGATCTCCCTGGTGCGGTCCGCGATCCTGGCCACCGGCACCGATCGGACGAGGTGGTCCAGTGCCTGTGAGGCCTCTTCCTTCCAGTGGGCCCGGAGGGTTTGCGAAAACTGGCCCGCGTGCATGGGGGATGCCAGTCCTTCGATGGCGATTCCCCCGATGCCGATCGCGGACCTGTGGATCGAACCGGCCTCCTCCCCGGTAACAACCGAGAGAGCCTCTTTCGGGATTGTCTTTGCGTTGGTCTCTGCGTTCGAGTTTGGGTTCGGATGGATGTCCGTGAACGCGTGCATCGCGTCCACGATTCCAAAGCGAAAGCCCTTGGTGATCTTTCGGTACACCTTGGGCAAGAGGGGGCCCTTGTCCGACAGGGCGCTCTTGAGCAGAACGTTTTGGATGGAGTGCAGCTCGCTGTGGTTTTTCGAAGAACCGTCGTCCACCGGCGATTGCGCTGCTGCCACGGTGCTGTTGCCGATGCTGTTGCTGCCGCCGAGGCCCGAGTCCGCGGGACGGGGCTGCGAGGGCGATTCCACAAGGGTGGCGGAAGCCTTCGGTTCCGGTGTTCGATCCGGCGCCACAGGAGACCCCGTCTCCGGAGACCGATCCTTTGGTTCGAGTGCTCGATCCGGCTCGGAAGGAGTTCCTTGCAACGAACAGCGCTCCTCGGCAATCTCGCGCGGGGGCGGCCCGGCCCGAGCTCGTTCCTCGGCGCTTTTTCGGAGCGACCGCTCTCTTGCGAGCTCGGCGGACAGCGCATCGAGCCTGGACCGGAGTTCCTCGGTGGCGGCGGCGGTGTTGCCGATTCGGTCCTCCTCCTCGGTCCGCGCCGCCTCCAGCGCCGCGACCTTTTCCTGCAGGACCCCCGCGCGCTGCCCGAGGCCGATCCGCAGGGACCGCTCCTTGTCCAGCTCGGCCTCGGCCCTCTCGGACCGGCGGAGTGCGGCCCCGAGCAGGGCGGCCGCCTCCTCGTGTTCCGACCGCAGCGCGAGGCCGCGGTCCAGCTCCGCCTCGTGCTCGGTGGAGAGGGCCGCAAAGCGATCGGAGGCTTCCTCCAGCGACGCCTGGAGCGCCAAAGCTTCTCGCTGGTAGGAGAGGGTGGTGTTGGTCGCTGCCTCTAGGGAGAGGGAGCACTCTCGTTCCATGCGTTCCAGGCTGCCACCCGTAGAAAAGAGGCCAACGATGCCGAGCCGCTGGAGCGCGCCCTGGCGGGCGTTGGTGTCTTGTGGTTGCGTTTGCGGGGGATCCTCCATAGACGCAACGGCGTCCAGGAACGACCGCAGGGATTCCACCAGGACACCGCTGTTGCCATTGCCGTTGTCGTTGCTTTGGTCCGGAATCTGGTCCCGGAGAATCGAGGCGATCATGGCCAGCCGCTCGTGGCCCACCCCGGTGAGGTTCACCACCAGGAAGATCCCGGTGCAGTAAAAGCAAAAGACGATGAGCACCTTTTGGCAGAACCGGTAGGCCTTTCTCCGCCTCCTCTTTCGGAGCTTGAGCTCGCGGCCGGTGGGGCGGGGAGCTGGGCAAACGCCACCATCTGCGCCGGTGCCGGTACCATCGGAGGGAGAGGTCACCGAGGGCGAGAGGCACTGCATAAAGTCCAGCCGCTTGCGGGCGGGGCTTCCCTCGTCGTCGTTGAGGTCGTAGTAGTCGTTGCCGTAGAGGTTGTTGTGGATGCTGCCGCCGTTGCCCGTGCGGTTGCTCCCGTCGTAGTAGTACTCCGAGCCGGGGGTGCCTTTCGAGGCGCTGACGGTCGATATCGCCAGGGAGGGCGGCGAGGCGGTCCGCTGGAGGTTTGGTGGGGTAGACAGTAGCGAGTGGTTCTGGTCCGACTCCTCCAGGGCCGCACCCAGGAGGGCGCTGCAGTATTGCTCCCGCACCAGCATCGCTTGCTCAAAGACCTCGTCCAGAGAGTACTCGTACTCGTTGGAGGAGGAGCCGCTGGTTTGCCTTTGTCCTCGAACGTAGCCGAGGGGTACGTCCAGGGCGCCCACGTCCTCCACGTCGGTCCAGTGCCGATCGCCTCTCTGCTTCTGGTATCGAAGCCCGGCGTTTCCAAAGAGGAGCATCCTGGAGTTGTCCGCGTGCACGGCAATGGCCACCTGGATCGTTTGCGGGGAGGAGATCAGGGCCCGCCCGCAGTAGTCTTCGTCCGTGGTGTGCGGGTCGAGCAACGAAAAGATGGAAGGAGCGTCGACCCCGTAGGGCGGCCGGACGCACATCGTGGCGAGGCTCGACGCGTACTCAAAGGGAAGGCACCGGGCGGCTTCCCGAAAGCGGGCGAACCGGCTGCTGCTGCTGCTACTTTGGTGGTGGTAATTCTCGCGGTCTTCACTTGGCTTGAACCGGCTGCTTCGCTTGCGCAGCCGGAGTCTCCTCTTGCCGCCACCCAGAGAGGAGCTCTTGCTGTCGTCCGAGGCGGTGCCGTAGGCACACGAACTGGTGTAGCTCTCGCTCATCACGTTGGCCTTCGCGTTCGGGTGTGCGATCGAGTTCGCGTGCCTCGATCCAAAGGGCACGAGCCGCTTGTCCCTCCCGGTTGCGCTTCGGCCCGAGCAAAGTGGGTCCGTTTGCGGGTCCGCGTGTGGGCCCTGGGTCGTCCTCTTGCCACTCGTGGGTGCAAACCCCGGTTCCGCCCCTGGCTTTGGGCACGAACGGTGCGGGTGCGGTCGAGAGTGCGCGTACCCGAAACCGCAGCTGATTTCGACGCCGCCGGGCTCTTCGTGGTAGGAACCAACGACGGAGGAAAAGACGATTTCTTCTTCCGGGTAGTGCCACTGGGGGCCGGTGTCACCGATGAAGCCGACGCCTATGGATGCCGCGAGTTCGTTGAGGGCCTCCTGGATGTCTTGTTCCGAAGGGAACTCTTCTGTTTGTGCCTGTGGCTCTGTCTGTAGCAGTGGATCTTCTTGTGGCTGTTGCGATGTTACTTGTCGTCTTCCGGCGTCCACATCTCCCCGTCCCTCCAGGGTGGCGTTCATGGCCAAACAACCGGGGATGGTGTTTGAAGTACGTGTGGAACAACCCCCGGATCCGAGGTGCGCACTGCGGTGATAATTTTGTCAGTACGCCGTGTCGATGGCAAGAGTTGGGTCGTTTACCTAGAACGAAAGCAGGGGGGGGAGCATCGGGTCGATGCACGCTCTGGTTCCGGGCTGTATCGCCATGGTCGAGAGAGACGGGATCTCCTAAAAACCAGGTTGAAACTTCTTGGCCTGCTGCGATTGGTGCAATCGAATTCTATCGTGGCGTGCGAGCTCGTATGAATCGTACGGGGACTAGAGTCGTACTTACACATCGCCGTAAATGGTACGACTTACTTAAAACTACGAACCTTCATTTTCAATTCAATCCTTCGATGTGATTTGACTTGCTTCGACGATGATTCATTTTGATTTGATTTGATTTCATTTGATTCGATCGAGAACACTCGCGTCACGTGCCGAAGCAACCCGCGAGCTCACCGGGAGGCCCGGAACGAACCCACCAATGCGTTTTCAGGTATCTGATTGGTTCCAAGAAACTCGCAAGGACGCGGAGTGAGTCAGTCTGTGCCGTGCCGGCGGTCGCGGACTAGGTCCTTGTTGCGTTGGCGCGATCCCGTCTGCTGGTAAAGTGCGTCACGGTCACGGACCCACGCACGCACGCACGCACTTCGGAACCACAACTCCGAGCGAGAGTTCCGGGGGTTGACCCTGCGTTGTTAGGGGTTGGGGTTTCCGAGGGTTGGCTTCGGGGGAGGGACTTTTCCTTTAGGGTTGGGGTTTGGAGAAGGCCGTCCTTGACACCCGGCCTGACATCCCTCGTTCTACCGAACGATTCGTACGGTGCTTTCTTGTTCCTCCGTCCTTCTGTCGAGGCGCGTCCTTTCGTTGTCTGCTCATCGCTAGTTTGATCCGATCAACCCGTACCGTACGACGTCGTACAACTCGTAGGTAGTGCGACCGGATCTTCCTCTTCCCCCAACAACAAAATTCCATCAAGATGGGAAATAGCAAGTTCAACGAAGAAACTCTTATCTTTCTTCCCTCCTTCCGACGAAGCCTCACAAACCAGAACCATCCGGGCCATACTCCATCTTTGGTACGCGCAGTGGTAATACTTTATTCTTGTGCGAGAGCAAGAAATAATACACAGCCAAGCAACACACACACACACACACTCACCAACACAACACAACACAACACAACACAACACAACGCAACCACAACCACAACCACAACCACAACCACAACCGCAACCGCAACCACAACCACAACCACAACCACAACCACAACCACAACCACAACCACAACCACAACCACAACCGCAACCGCAACCACAACCACAACCACAACCGCAACCACACACGGACCGACACAACATGGCCAGGAAGGGACGATCCTCCCGGCGCAGGGGCAACCGCGGGGGCGACAGCGACGACGAGGACAACCTCTCGGCGAACGGAGCGGCGGACTACCTCTCCGAGAACCACACCATCGACGGCCTGCTCAGCAACAGCGGCGACAACACCACCCTCGGATCGATCCCCGACGATTCCTCCTGGGGCATCCACGACGACGACGACGAGGCCTACCAGAAAAAGGCCGGCGGCGACGGGGACCACCGGCAGTCCCTCGAAGCCAACGAGCAGAGGCTGGCCGACCTTCTGGGATCCACCGTCCCCGAGTTTGCCTCGGAAAAGCGGTCCTCCAAGCGGGAGGCCGTCCTCAAGGCCTGGTTCCGGGCCCTCACCCTCTACGCCACCCTGCCGCCCTACGACACGGTGGAGGAGTGGCGGGACGAGCTCGTCAAGGCCTGCGGGAGCTACGCCCTCCTCCGGGGCTCCCCGGCGGAACAGTACGCGGGCTGCCGCGTCCTCGAGGCCATGGCGGTCCTCGTCGGCGACCACGGGCTCTACGAGGCGGTCTCCAAGCGGCTGGTCCGGGTCGTCCAGGCGACCGGCCGGGCCGTCCCGGTCCGGGTCAGCGCCCTGCGGGCCCTCGGGATGCTCGTCTTTTGCGGCATCGACGACGAGGTCGTCACCGAGTCGGTCCTGGACCTCTGCGAGGCGGCCCTCGCGGCCGAGTACCGGGGCCAGGCCACGCCACCGGCCCTGAGGGCCTGCGCCTGGCGGGTCTGGACGCTCCTGGCCACCACCGTCCACGAGCTCTACGTTGCCGGGACCGATCACGAGTCGACCGGCCGGGGACTCCTGCTGCTGCCGGTGGTGGCCGAGTGCCTGGAGCAGGCGGGGGACCACTCGCTGCGGGAGGCCGCCGGCCAGGCCATGGCCTACATCCACGACTGCCGGCTCCGGCTCGGCCCGGGGGGAGACGACGGGGAAACGGGCAAGAGCGCCAGCCAGACCAAGTACGAGCTGGGCTCCTGGGAGGGCTCGGAGTGGGAGGACCAGGTGGACGAGATCGGGCAGACCATCTACGAGCTGGCCCACGCCAGCGGCCACCACGTCTCCAAGAAGGGCAAGAAGGAGCAGCGGAAGGTCTTCCGGGACTACCTCGGGATGCTCCACGACAACGAGACCCCGGAGGTGGTCGTCCAGTTCCGCGGGGGGAGCCTCGAGCTCTCGACCTTTGGCGAGATCTGCGCCCTGGAGTTTGTCCGGCGGTGCCTCCAGGGCGGCTTCCAGGTGCAGCTCCTGACCAACCCCACCCTCCAGGCGGTCTTTGGGTGCGACGGGACCGCCCTCGGCTCTTCCGGGGGGGGCTACAGCCAGCTCGAGAAGCGCCTCCTCCTCTCCAAGACGAGCGAGGCCTCCAAGATCAAGGACCTGGACCGCCACAAGGGACGGAAGAAACGGCAGAACGTCAAGAACCACTTTCTGACGGCCGACGGAGACGACATCTGAACGAACCAACTGCAAGAGACGGCACGAGCGGAAAGATGGCGAGAAAGGGAGCTGCAGAGCGCAAACCCTTCCGCGCCCCTTCTCCCGTTTCGATCCGCTCGCCGCCACTCCCTGGTCGGGCAATGTGCCGGACGCCCGGAGGAGCGACACGCTGCGCGGCGTTAGTGCCACGGAACAAGACGGGATTCCAGCAAGAACGAGCCATCCCGGCAACGGCACGGCACGGCTCGACGGCACGAACCAAACGAGTTGGAGGACGGAGCCGGTCGCTGCAGCTATGGAAGGCGCACGCCATTCGGTGTGTTGCCTTGCGCCGCTGTCGCTTCGCGACTGGCGTGGTAAAAGGCATCGTTCGCGCACAGGAACACGAGATAATTCCACTAAAGAATCCAGAGTTTCCGAATTTCGTTCGGTTTGCATCCTTGCCGTGCTTTAGGCTCGTACCGTAGCGATCATCACAAAACTACAAGCAGTAGGTGCCAAAAGCAGCACTGGCCCGGGAGGAAATGGGTGGTTGTCGCCGACGGCAACATCACTGATTTCACCTATAATGTTATCATTATTATTACTGTAATTATTGCTCTAGTGTATTATTTCTTCTTCTGCTGAGACTCCCATTCCCGTTCGTACCTGGCAATAACCTTCCTCCGCAACGGAATCTTGAGGGCCATGTCCATGATCTGGCCCCCCTCCACGCGCTCCGGGAGCTCCCGGAAAAAGGTCAGGATTTCCTCAAAGGACATCTTGAGGAGCCGCGGCTGGTACTTCAGCAGCAGCGCCAGCATGACCCGGTAGATGATCTTCCACCCCTCTCCAAGAAAGGCGTCCCAGACCCGGACCACCAGGTCGAACTTGAAGCTGCTCGTGTACTGCGTCAGGAGCCACTGCGTAGCGTACATCGTCACGTGGACGTGCTCCTTTTCAAAGTGCCTCGCCAGGCGGGAGAGGTAGTGGTGGGTGAGCTTCTCCGCCACATACAGGACCTTGTGGGTCTGGAGCATCCCCTCCCCGAACAGACCCCTCATGTGGCACGGCTTGTCGCTCATGACCGCTGCGTGCAAAGACAAGACGGAAGGGCAAATTCCAAGACAGAAAGAAAGAAAAAGTCAGAAAGGATCGAACAAAGGGTGACGCATAGGTGCAACCTCGCACCGGAACACAGGACAGCGCATCGCCAAGACAACAAAGGCACTTACACACCAGCAGCCAAAAGGCTTCCTCCTCCGTCATCAGCGTCAGAAACATGCCAGCGATAAAGTTCATCCCCTGGCAGTAGCCGACTTCCGGGTCGTAGTAGCTGTAGGCCCGGAGGACCCGCCGCAGGGCGGCCTGCCCGCTCTGGGTGGTCGCGGTGATCGTGCAGTGGTCGGTTCGGTCGTGGAGCTTGTACTGCTTCAGGCCGTTGTTCGCGCTCGCCATGTCCCTGGACTCGGCCACCTTGAGGTCCATCTCGAGGTTCAGAATGAGTGCCGCGAGCTCCGGGTCGCCGGGGGTGGTGCCGGCCGAGGGGCTCTCGAAGGGATCTTCGCGGTCGCCCCCGGTGCTGCTGCTGGGGCTTTCCACGATGGACCGCTCCTCCTCGTAAAACAAATTGTGCCGGGGAAAGGTCCGGTGAATGTCGCGCTCGATAATGTCCTGGATGCTCCGAAAGTCCCTCGTGGCGGCGTAGCAGCCGCTTTTCTCCTTTCCGGAGGGTTTTGTTTCGTCCTTTTCGATCCCCGACGACCGCGGCGTCGTCGGCGACGAGGATCGGCCTCCGGAGGCAGCATCCACGACGTTCCCCACCGGTGACGGCTTCGCCTCCTCGGGGGACGAGGACGAGGCCCCCTTGTTGGGTTTTGTCGGCGAGGGATTGGTAAAGGTGCTCACCTCCGACACCGCCGAGGTGGGGGAGGTCCGGGTCGAGGCCGGGTTGGACGACCGCTCGGGGGTCCCGCTGCCGCTTCCGCCAGTGTTGGAAGAAGGCGAGCTTCGGCCGCCGCTTGCCGTTGAGTGCAGGGCTTCACGATGGGTCCTCTGCAGCTCCCGGCAGTTGGTCAGCATAGCGTCGCTCGTGACGCGGACAATGTCCTGGTACATCCCGGGGACGCGGATCCCCCCGCCCAGGGCCAACCAGGTCTTGCCCCGGACGGAATCCGGGACACCCTTGCGGAGCCTCCGCAGGACGACCTTGTTCCCGGAGGCAAAGGAGTGGTTTCGCGGGGCGGGCTTTCTCTGTAGGATCCCGCTGTTCGGGCTGCTGCCGCTCGGCCCGGAGCCAGCGCTGCTCCCGTGCTGCCGGGAGGGCTGCTTGAGCTGTTTGCTGCCGCCCGTCCCGCCGCCGACGCCCTGCTGCCTCGCTTGCTTGTCCCAGCCCTGCAGCGTAGCCTTCCATTTCTTTTCCCTCCGCTCGGTCCGCTCCGAATCCGCGTAGCTCGGAACCTTGATGTTTTCGGCCCCGTTCGTTTCGAGAATGCGCCCCTTGGAGTCAATGTTGGTGATAAACCCGTACCGGTCGAGTTGCAGCGACATCTTTGCGTTTGCGGGTTCGTCTTCTTCTTGGTGCTCGTGCTCTACCTTTCGGCGGGTGCTGGTAATGGTGGTGGTCCGCGAGTCGTTCCGGGGTCGGTAGCTGGGGTGGTTGCGCTGCGAGCGACGGCCGGGTGACGAATGGATGACCTCGACGTTGTGCTCTTCTTGCTCGCCAAAGTTGAAGTCCTCCAGGGAAGACGACGTGCTGGTGCTCGTGGTGGTTCCCGTGCTGGTGGGGGTAGATGCCGCCGGCGCGAGAATGGAACCCTTTTTGTTCGGTTTCGTGGGGGTGGCTTCGCTGCTCCAACCGCTCACCCTGATGCCGCGGTGGTTGCTGTGGTAGGCTTCGGGCCTGGCTTTGACGCTGCCGCTGCCGCTGCTTTTGCTACTCGTACTTGCACCGAGGGACGGAAATGTTGTTTCCGCTAGAACAAATGGCCCCATGTAGTTTTTCGAGCTAGGAACAAACGCAAGTGGATGTGCTCTGTTGTATTCCTCTGTGCTGTATCGCGTTGCAGTGTAGCAGAGTACCTTTTTGGATTCGAAAGGGTGTCCCGGATGTGCCCTTGCGATGGGAAGTTATTGGCTTGGCAGCAGTTGTTGTGTATAGCTTTCGAGTTTCTTTGTAGCGCTGTGCTGCTCGACAAAGAAACCGAACCGACCAATGCTATGCGATGCTGCGCAACGGCTGTAGCTTCGATCGTTCTTTTGAATGCCAATTCAAAAGCGAAGAGTAAGGAGACGTCCCAGGGTTTGTGGATGTATGTGTGATCTCTTGCTCTCTGTCTGTGTTCCTCTCTTTACCGTGCACCTAGTTTGTGATGGACAAAAATATTACTGCAGCAATGTCCTCCGTATCTACTCGTACGGATACATACCGTCTCGTAGTACCATCAGCCACGAATTAACCTAACAGATGGCCTCGTAGTAGTGTTTGTACCCGTGGACGCTCCCTGGAACAGAAATGCTTTACGGGGACTCGCACGGTTTAGGTTTCCTTACGAACCGGTCTGTAGAGCTCTGTACTGTGGAACTTTCGGTTCGCTCTGTGTAATGACGGCGTACCGTACAGTACGTAATCTTCCTTATTTGAATGGATGCAAGTGGGCAGGCAGGTGTACTAAAATCGTCCGGGATTGAGATGCATGCGCGCGCAAGTAAAGTCCGTTGGACTAGGTAATTTTCTTTTTAGTTTCGGCACTTTCTGTTCAAATTTCCTGGGAATTGATTCAAACCACGGTTCGAAATTATTGAAGAACTTCTTAATAGTACCTGGTGCACGTACGTAGCCTACTGGCCTCTATCGGATGACGACAATTGTCGGATCCGAGATCCGAGGGTATGGCAAATGTGGATAGGGAATTCTTCCCTAACATACGTACGGTATCTACGAACCCTAGTAGCAGGAGTAGCCAGAAGGAGGAACAAAACTCAACCAAAAAGGTTCAATCAATTTGCAAATGAGTAATTAAACAATATAGAAAATCCTATCATATTGATCAGTTCAAATCTAGCAGTTTATTGTTCATATAGCTGCAGGAGGGCTGCTATTGACAAATTTCTAAATTGAAACTTGAAAGGAAGCAAGCATCATCGTCACCACCACGACCACCACCAGCAACACAGAGGGTTTCAACTGTTGACAATGATGAAGCTGTCAGAGTGTTTTAAAAGAAGCATATGCATTACTACCAATAAGGATACAAAAGATGACTTCAAGAAGCTCAAGCTAATAGAAGAAACTATACTCAAGGAAAATATTGTAAACAATGAAAAATGGAAAAACCTTACTACTAGTAGTAGTAGTAGTAGTATTGAATCAAAAGAAATAGGCTAGTAAATCCATTTGTGGCCAGGGTTGATTGGACATGACAACAAGAGCATGGAAATCAGGTTATAAAAGGCTGAGGAAAAGTTCACTTGAAATCCCTCAAAGAAGTCAGCAAGACATTCAATGTGAACAATAAAAAATAGGAAAAGAACCTTGTTGAGTCAAAAGAAGTACTAGGCACCAGACCTATTTGTGACCAGGGTTTAAACACCACTTTATGCAGAATCAAAAAAGTTGATTGGACATGACAAGCATAGAAATCAGGTTAGTATAAAAGGCTTAGAGAAAATACAAAGAAATGAAAAATGGTAGTACTAGTGACATTTTATCACAGCACTGTCGCTTTTCTATAGAAGAGACTGATGTACAAATCTTTTTGATGAGATCAAAGTTAAAGATGGAGGTTGCATATATTCCTTTGACTGGCAAGGAGTATGGATTCATTGCAAGCAAAAATGGAAGAACCAGCATGAGCTTTGTAGAGGAGATACAAACTCTGCTAGTACTACTACTAGTAGTGAAAGATAGCATAGATCCTAGATCTGGACAAGAAAGTATCCAGGGTAGCAATGAGAAAGACCCATATATTATACCTGTTCAGTTTGCAAATGTCTTCAAGTTGAGAACCTCGTCAAAGGACCAAACATCATGGAGTGTTGCATACAATTATTTCAATACTGTTCATGGCCTACTACTAGTAGTACTAGTCTGCTGTACGTCATCACTGCTGTGGAATTGATTGCTTTGAGAGTCAAGCGTCCAATCTGTGATGCAAAGGGTGGAAATACAAGCGTCCAATCTGTGATGCAAAGGGTGGAAATATAAGTGGTGTGCTACTCATACTGATCACTACTAGTACTGGAAAATCAATAAATTTCATCAAAGGAAAACTAGACAAGGAATGTATCATCAGTAACAAAAACCCACTGTCTCCTTGACCAAGATCTATCTGGGCTTCAGCCTGTTGTGTTCAATTAGCACCTACCTCATTGAAATGCACAAAAAATATGATTGCTTCAAAAGTAATGGTGAAGAAAGAACAATTTATGTCCTGGCAAAGAATGAAAACAAGAAATTTCTATTGCCATTCGAAGGACAATTTTGAAAACTCAATGAGTGATATTGAGCTTCATGGTATTCAAAGGAGTGGTGTTGACCAGTTTGTACCTTCTTTGCCAATGACTGACAATTAAAATAAAATGAAATCCAGATTTTTATCATGTTATGGAAAAATATGCAGATAACAAGGGTGGATGAAGTGGTGAAATCCACTTCCTCTTACTTGTTGACACTAAAAGTCAGAAGTAGTTTGAAAATGAGTTGGCTTCTTTGTTAATTGAAATCTCTGTAACAATACCCACAATCTTTATTGTTTGTTTTCTGGACAGAAATGTATGGATTGAATGTAGAAGCAGCAATAAAATCTGCAAGCTTGATGCCATACTCTGCAGATCATAGTAGTAGTACAAAAGAGAAAACACATTTATATCTGATTTGTTTTGATTTGACAGTAGCAGGTGGTGGTCCAAGGAAAAGATCCAGTTGGATGAAAGTTTTGTTGAGAAGAAGGAAACTACTATTTTCTGCAGGAGTATCCCCACTATTAGTAGTAGTACTGCAGCTAACAATACCCCCATGTTTTCACTCAATGCAGAATGTAGTGATCAGAACTGAAAGAATCATACCATGGATAAATGCCATTTCATCATCACAAGAATGTCCAAGTTCTTCAAAAATGCTCTCAATGAATCCTGCTCTCCAGGACTCTGTAGGGGCATCACTGCTAGTACTACTAACAGAGGGTAATACCAAGAAAGAGTGGTTTCTGAGGATAATTCTTGGTCAGGTTGGGGTCATCTTTGATAATTTGTGTCACCAATCTATCAATTTAAGGCTACTGAAATTTCTGATGCCAAAGACAGCAGAGGAAGTGACAGCAAACAAGAATAATTGGTTATCCATCCCACATGAAAGAATAAAAAATCAGTTCGAAGTTGTGATTCTTTGTTTGGGGCAGGGGTTAGCTACATTGACGGGGGGGGGGGCAATGAAGGTTTTGGAAGAAGACTTCCTGGACTAATTAACAAGTAATATCAATGAGAGAAAGAGTAAATGTGAGTAAGGTCAGAAAGTTCAATTTTTAGATGTGAAAAGAATTGTTGGTTGGGTAATCTGGAGTCAAAGATTGAATACTAGATTACAGAAAGGTAGGTCAGTGACTGCAGCTGACAAGAACTAGAGCAAAAAGTCAATTCAGCTGATAAAAGAATTTGGTTTTATTTCTACTACTATGCAATTGTTTGTTGGCAAAGAAGTACTATGTTCAAAGCCCCACATGGAAAAGTGTTATGATATTTTCCTTTGGTCAGTAAATCACAGAAGATGAACTTCAGTCAATGAGGTGTGTTTTGGATTTTTTAGTGCATTTACTAGTCCTGTAGATCATAATAAATGACAGGAGAGAGCTACTAGTAGATTCATAAGAGGCCCTATTACTGAGATGATACTACTAGCTGTACTCAATGGAATAAACATTGTTAGTACTAGTACTGAATGAGAAGATATATCATCTTTTCTAGTGGTGTCATTTTAAGTACTACAAGTTGTCATTGTGCTCTGGCTGTAGTTTCTGCAGCTCACTCGTGGTTCACAACAACAAGAAAGTGGATACATAGACCAAGAACTAAGATAGTACTACTACTAGTAGTAGCAATGGGACATTCTATTCTGTTGTCACCACCACTATCAGCAAGGAGCACTGAGCTATCAAGTTACAAAAATCATGATAAAGACTACTAACAGAGGCAGCTGTTATCATTGGCTTCATAATTAGATTTTTGATCACCACTAGTACTACTACTACTACTACTACTACTACTACTAGTAGTAGTAGTAGTAGCAGTATGATGATGAAACATAAAGTGAGGTTGCAGGAATGGGTCATTCCTGATAACATATATCAAGGTATGTTTTCGGGAATCACTTTCAGTGGTACTGAGGCACAGCCGGCCGGCTCAACTTACATATTTTCCCTCCATTTTGGAATTTGGAATCCTGTATAATTTGCACGCTAATTTCACAAGATTCCAACAATTTGGGATTTTCACGAAGACAGAATTGGCAGCTCTGTCTTCTGAACTTCCAAAACTGAATCCTTCTCTGAAACTACTCCCGAGACTGGAAATGGTTAAGTCAAGGATTCCAATTGAAAAATATGTAAATTACATAAAAGTTGGTTGGTGTGGGCCCACGACAACCAACTTTTATGTATTTTGGGTCATAATGCGGGCCGGGCATGCCAAAATTTACACAGATATATGTTATCGGGAATGACCCAATGGCTGGAGAAAGTGGTCAGAAATGATCACACACAGGGGTTATAGTAGTATGAATCTTCCTACTACTAGTACTATTACTACTACTAATTCAATTTTTGTTACTTTTCATACTAGTAGTAGTACTACTTTTGGTTATTTACTAGGAATAGTAAATGCTACTAGTGCATTTCTTCATGAAAGAGTAAGAAAGTAAAATATTCTGAACTGCTGCCTGCCTAATGACATTGAAACCTAGAATTGGAGCAGACAAACAAAAATGGCAATCATAGTGGTACTACTAACAGTATTGAAAATGACTATGACACCACAAGCAAGAATACAACAATATTGCGCCAGCAATACTAGTATTGCCTTCATTGCAAAGTAATATTGAGTATCCAGGTCCACAAACAAGAGAGCTCACTATTCCACATTTTATCTATTTTAATGATTACTGTGACTTAGCTAATTCGCACCAACAAACATGATTGCTACTACTACTACTACTGACAAGAAGAAGAAGTTATTGTTGTTTTTTGGACTGCTCAATATCAATACTAATGAAGCACAAGCCACTAAAACATCAGGTCCTTGCAATGAGCCATTTTTCATTTTCTTCAGAGGGCTTTTTTGCTACCATGATCAGTTCCATGAGTGTTTTGTGGTAACCAAGTGATAAAAATTACGATTCTATCCTGGTAACTCTATTTTAGATCCAACAAAAGACGACACCGGCAGGACTCGAACCTACGCGGGATAAACCCAATCGATTTCTAGTCGATCGCCTTAACCGCTCGGCCACGGTGTCAGGTGCTGATTCCGCTGTAAAAATGATACATATACAATTGCTGCAGGTATTTCGTAAGGCAAGAAACTCGCGGTGTCGTAGTGACAGACGTCCATGCAAACTTTCGGAACGGCCCTTTGAAAACCCGATGGGCGCGATGGAACTGCAAGGCATGCAAATAATACTGTATTTATCAAAAGAACAAATCTAACAAGCACACTGCGAAAGAACAAAAACCGTCATACGGTTTTGTATTTATCACAAAAGATCCATCCCACTTTGGATCGCTACCGAGAGAAAGAAACAGCTTGTGCTACACACAGTACCGTAATAGAAATGCAGAAAGCGAAGCAGGGTGACTGGTTCGTGTGTTGGTTGTTGTTGCACATGATGGATCCTCTCGTTCGGGCAATCGGTGCCATAGTTTCAAAGTACTGCATTCCGAGAACACGAAATCACAACGCAGACAAACAACATTTGCAAAACAAAACAGTAGTGCATATAGCTACCAAACGAAGGCACTAGGGAATTGGAACCAGCAATCCGGGCTTGTCGAATCGAAACATACACATTACAGTACACCATACTATTCCTTAACAATCACACCATTTCGGGATGAACTACCTCGGATCGGATTTCAACAGCACGGGGTCGGTGATCGCAAAATCGGAGCTGACGGCCGCCCGGTTGAAACGAGGTGAGTGCGTGACCTGCGGGAGAAAGTGTTTTAAAAAGAAGTTCCTCAAGATGGTCCCCATCGACGACGAGGAAGGGAACATCCTCAACGGCCGCTGCCTCAACTGCAAGCCCCTGTCGATGAAACATCTCCCCAAGAAGCAGCAGGGCAGCGGTCACGGCAGCAGCCACAGCCGGAGCACCCGAAACAACCGCAGCCACCACGGTGGCAGCCAGGGTTCCCTCCGGAGGTCCAAGAGCGTCGCCATCGATGCCACCGTCGCGGTAGCGGAGTGCAAGCCGGCTTCGCACAAGCACCTGGGTTCGGTGCCCCCGAAACGAACCCTGTCGAGTCCCGCCCGGTCCCAGAACAGCAGCTACCACCGGAGTGCCGTCGGAACCAACAACGGCATCGGGGCGACGTCGAGGAGCAGGGGCAGCAGCAGCAACGATTCCAGCTTTGGCGGTTCCAACAACGTTCACACCATTCCTTCCAACAGCGGCCACAGCCTTAGCGGTACTTCTTCTCTGGCGTCCATCTGTTCCGCTGCCTCTGGCAGCACTGCCACCACTGTCTACCGCCAACCTCTCTCGCGCCAGGACAGCATCGATTCGTGCGGTTCCATGAACTCGAACTCGAACTCGAATCGCTCCCTATCCAAGACCACAAAATCGTCCCGGGAAGAGCTCGAGCAGGCGGCCCAGACCCTCATGGCGGCAGCGAAGGAGCACGGCCTAGCCGACGGAACCCTGGTCGCTTCCCTGAGCGACATCGTCAACCTAGGCAACGGCGTTAGTGCTGCTGGCGGGCAAGGCCCCAGCGACAAGCTTGCCTCAAAAAGTTTTGATTCATCCGAAGAGGAACCTCCGTCCCACCCATCCCCAGACGTGGTGGTTTCTACGGGAGGTGTGCTCAACCGCGGGGGGGCCTTCCCGATGAGGTACGGCCGCCACATCTACACCGGAAGCACCCGTACCCTGAGCTCCATGTCCTCGATCGACGAGGGAGACCAGCAGCAGCTGCAGCAGCAGTCCCTACGAATGGTGGGGAAGAGCTGCCGGACCCTGGGATCCCTTTCCACTATCGACGGGACCGACGAAGAAGAAATCCAGACCCTGAACGACGACATCCACAGCAATCTCTCCGGCCCCAGCGGAACACCAGCGTCCGACGAGGTTCACAACGAAGAAAAGAAAGAGGGCGAAAGCGCCACCGACGACGACAAAACCACGCCGGAAACCGCCACCCGTTGTCTGGAACGGCTCAAGGAATCCACCCTGGCCCCGTGCCCGGCCAAATCGATCGAGGCGATCGAGTGTCTCCTGGAGTTTGTCGCATGCTTGTTCGATCCGGCCTCCGAGCTCGACCTCCTGATCGAGACCGGCGGGATCCAGGCCCTCGTCTCTGCCATGGGAAAATACTCGAAATCACCGGGGATCCAGGCAAGGGCCTGCGAGCTCCTGTCGGTTTTCGCGTCCCCGTGCGGAAGCAGCAACACCGACGACGACGAATCGCGCAAGCGGAGGCGAACCGTCCTGGACCAAACCAATGGAGCCGGGGAAGCCATCCTGTACTTTTCCATGATCCTCCACGAAGACAGCGCGGAGGTCCAGCAGGCCGCTCTCAACGCGATTCACTGCCTCTGCGAGGACTGCGGTGAGAACCAAGCCGACTTTCTAAAGCTCGACGTCATGGAACCCATCCTCCGGGCCATGGAACACCACCGCAACGAAGCCCGTTTGCAAGAGATCGGAAGCTCGCTGATTTCTCTCCTGGCCAGCAACCCCGACAACGAAAACGTCGGGAGCGCGATCGGGCTGAACGGCGGGGTTCCGGTGATCCTCCGGGCCATTCTGGTGCACCTCGACAACGCCCGCGTCGCGGAGACCTGCAGCCGGGCCCTCTACGAACTCACCCTGGGGGACCCCCACAACGTGGTCGTCGTGCTCAAGACCCCCGGAGCGATTTGCGCAATCCTCGATGCCATGCGGTCCCACCCCCAGAACACCGGTGTCCAAGAGATGGGATGCGCCGTCCTGTCCAACCTCACCGCGGACGCCGAGTACGTGCCCCTCTTGATCACAAACGGGCAGGCCACGGAAGACGAATCCGAGGAGAAGTCCACCGACGTTCTGGGGCTCGTCCTCGAGACCATCCTCGAGGCGATCCAGGGGCACTCGGGTGCTCCAACCGTCCAGGACCTGGGCTGTGCGGCCCTCGCCAACCTCACGGACTCGGACGAAACGAAGATGTTCGTCGTCGACAAGGGCGTTCTGGACGCCATCGTCCTGGCCATGGTCCTGCACGCGGACCACGCGGAGGTCCAGGAGCGGGTGTGCCGGCTGCTCCTGCTCCTGGCCGTGAAGGTAAACCACAAACAGATCCAGGCCGCGATTCCGATCGAGATCGTCAGGGCCGCGGCCAAAAAGTTTCCCGATCGATGCTCGGAGCCGGCAAATCGGTTGGTCCGAGAGCTCGGTCTGTGAGTAATGCACTCGCAACCGTCCACAAACTTTCGTTCGTTGCCATCGATCGATCATCCATTAGTATTTACAAGTAGAAGTATTTCATTATTTTTTTAAAAACAATCGTCTTTCGCCAGAGTTCGAAAAGAAAACAAACCTCCGAGAAAAAATGTAACATTATGCATCATCCATTCGTATTGTATCGTATTGTATCTAAGGGCATAGTAGTAGTATCCGTTTGACGGTTATCTTATTTAACCGTTTTCCTGCATATTTAAACATTTTGAAAAACTTGAGTGTAATCGCACTAGTCGATTTCGAAAAAATCGGAGAGGGATGCGGAAGTTTCGATTTTCTCAACGCCCCGAAGGAAAATTAGCACACCCTTTGGCTGGAAGAGTTTTTGAAGCGGGGAGTGTGGACTCTGACCTTGTCGCTTGTTTCTTTAAATACATATGCTCTCGATCGAAGCCCCTGGACCACAAAGAGAGGCACCACACTCGGTGCGAAACCACACCAAATCAAACGACAAACAACTCATTTTGATTCGATTCCCTGTGTGTTAACACAGTAAAGCAGCAAACAGAGGGCCCAGAAGGACGAGAAATTAGTGCTGACTTTCCCCCCCCCTCCAAAACCTTCCGCCCGCTGTTTGGTTTGTTTGTTTGAGGACCAATGGGGAATGAAGCATCTGCCGAGGCCGGTCCATCGCCGGATGCTCAAAAGGGCCAGAAATCTAAAGAGAAACCCACATCAACCTCGGAGCTGAGCCCAAAAAAATCCACGGGAAACGAAGAGGCGGTTCGAGCACCGGTGCCATCGCAGAACGAGGTTGGGAACAACGAGGAAGGGACGAACGAGGCAGAGAACAACGAGGAAGGGAGCAACGAGGCAGAGAACATCGACGAAGGGAGCAACGAGGCAGAGAACATCGAGGCAGGGAACAAAGAGGAAGAGGCAAAAGATGCCGATGGCCACAGCGAGGCCGTTGGCAACGAAACGGCGCCTCTACCCGCCACGGAAAGCCCCATGCACAACGGTGAAGCCGGGCTGAAGAAAAAGGCAGCGAGAACCCTCGGAGATGCAAAAGACGCCGATGGCCAAAGCGAGGCCGTTGGCGACGAAAAGGTGCCTCTGCCCACCACGGAAAGCCCCGTGCACAACGATCAAGCCAGGCTGGAGAGAAAGGCGGCGAGAACCCTCCGAGAGGCAAAAGATGCCGATGGCCACAGCGAGGCCGTTGGCAACGAAACGGCGCCTCTACCCGCCACGGAAAGCCCCATGCACAACGGTCAAGCCAGAGTGGAGAAAAAGGCGACAAGAACCCTCCGAGAGGCAAAAGACACCGGTGGCCACAGCGAGGCCGTTGGCGACAAGGTGCCTCTACCCGCCACGGAAAGCCCCACGCACAGCGATCAAGCCAGAGTAGAGAGAAAGGCGGCGAGAACCCGCCGGCCGCAAACTATTTCGGAAGGTATGCTGCGGGGAACCATAGAGAAAAACAACGAGGAGCTCGTTTGCAGAGATCCGATTCTAGACGCCGTGGCAGCGGGTTCTGCCGTGCGGAAAGCCAGGCAAGAGCGACTGGAACGTATACGGCGGAGGCAACAACAGCAACAGCAGCGTGGTACGAGACCGTTGGCAAGAGGGGAACACAGGCCATTTACAGACAACAACAACAATCAATGGAAAATATCTCTCAGGCKGCTGGCGAAGACGGCTGCTTCCACCGCTAAAACGGTTGCGCACGCAACTGCTCCGGTAATTTCCGACGCAAGGCAGGTAGTCCTGTCATCGGCAACCGAATTTGCCCAGGACGTCAAAACCGAATGGAACAAGGTCGACAGAGTTCCGGTGGAGGATTCGTTTCTATCCAGATCATCGAACGAGGAAGAAAACCACAAGGACAACGAGTTCAAAGCAACTGACACATCAGATATAGAATGCGACGACCGTAATTCCGATAACGGAGCACGAAACAACAACATAGAAACGCAACAACAAATGAAAGAAGAGATAGATACAGAGGATAGCAATGGCGCAGGTGGAAGTTCAGAGACGGCAGCAGGCAACAACAATATAAAATCAGAAGAACAAAAGAACGACGATTGCTGTGTCGAGGATGACAATGGCGTAGATGAAATTTTAGATGCGGCACTAAGCAACAACAATACAGAACGAAAACGAGAACAGATCAAAGAGATCAATTTAGATCACACCAATGGTGTGGGTGCAACTCAAGATGCGACAGAAATAAAATCAAATCGAGAGAGATCTGATCCGATAACATGCTCCAATATGAACAACGATGTTGTGATGGACCATCACAAACTGATTCCCAAAGGAAATAGCACGGATTCAGACTCGTTCAATATTTCTTTCTCGTTTACTTTCGACGAGAAGAAAGAAATGGATTGCAGGGGGGAACTCGACGACGGGAGTGCAGAGATCGAGATAACTCCAGGAAACAAATGCATAATCGAGGAACTCCAGATCATGGAAGAAGAATTCGAGACGCAATTAGAATCTGTAAAGACCCAGATAGACTCCGTATTTGCAAGCCCGGTGGGCGAACGGAACGACTCGCGTGGCAAACCAAAAATCAGAAGGTTGCTATCCGATGACGATACGGCCGAGCACGAGTTCAGCAGCGAGCGCACGCACGAAATCTCCTTTTTTGAAAAAGACGGTTCTCCCAAACAAATCATGGCGGTCGATTCTGGTGATATGGACTCCTCGAGTAGCACCACAAACGACAACGTGCTGTATGCGCAAGAATCAGAAGACGCCGAGAAGCCGGATAGAACGACGTCAAAAGTGGAGGCAAATATGCAGGATAATGCAAACATTGGGGAGTACGGCAGTGGGAAGGAACAGGAGGGAGACGGGAACCCGTCAGATAAAGGCAATCAGCCTGGCGACGAAATCAAAGAAAATACAGAAGAAGACGTCGAGGAGAAGACTGATAGAATGACGTCAAAAGTGGAGGCAAATATGCGAGATAAAGCAAGTATTAGAGACGACGATAGTGGGAAGGAACGGAAGGGAGATGGTGATAGCACGTCGAATAAAAGCGATCAGCCTGTCGATGAGATCACAGGAGTTACAGAAGAGGGCGTCGAGGAGAAGCCGGATAGAACGATGTCAAAAATGGAGGCAAGCACGCAAGATGACGCAAGTGTTGTGGACAACGACAGTGGAATTGAACGGGAGGGAGATGGTAACCTGGCAGAAAGAAGCAATAAGCCTCGCGATGACATCAAAGAAAAATCAATTCCATGTCAAAAAGATTCAGACGAGATTCTGGATGCTGTACCAGAACCAAAAGTAAGAACGAGATCGGGGCGGGTTGTCAAACCAGTTCGTCGATTGATAGACGGATGTGAAACCTCAATTGGTGGCGAGAATCAATATGGTCGGGCTCATAGTGTTGACTTTGAAATCGACGAGACAGAGGACCATGCTTTGGACGATTCCAGTAAAACTGTTACTCAAGCTGCTTCAACAGACGTACAGGAAACGACAAATTTACAACTCGGCTCAAACACGGAAGCCAGCCTCGAAAGTGACCGTACGACAGACGAGGTCACGACACAAACAAAACCCAATGAAAAATTCTCTCCTCCATCTATGGACGACGAGAAAGAGGAACCGTCGAATGGGACAACCGATAATTCATGGACAGAAATGAAACCCATAGGTGACGAGGAAGTAATAATCAATTCTTCTATAATGAATGGGAGTACGAAGATGTCACCTATGTTTGGTTTGAGCGAAGATGCATTGTACCAAAACGAAGAAGTTCATACCCTTGGAGATGGCGACGGCGACGGCGACGAGGAAAATTCCACTAATAACGCTGTGGCGACAATACTGAATGTCACTTCTGACCATCGACCCTTCGTTCAAAGATTTGATCGTCATGCGTTGAAAGACAAGAAAAGTTTTGTGAAATTTGTTGCTACGAGACTTACAGGATTCGATATCGAAGTGAAGGAAAAATCAAACAAACACGACCTATTTGACCCATCTAGTGATTATCCGATTCCTGACAGTGTTTTCGAAAAACGGATACCCCCTATCATCGAATCTTCTACTTCAAGCTCGGTTTCGTCACCGCCAGAGATCGACATGGCTCTCCATATCGAGGAAAGGGAAGATGGCAGCTGCAAAAATGATGACGAGAACGATCTTGTCCCCCTGTTCGATCTTATTCCTAGTAAGTGCGAAATATCTCGAGAAAGTTGTGTCGGAGAAGAAAGTAGAAAATTGGAATCTAATTTATCTGAAGAAGAATCGCAGCGGCGGAAGCGTTTGAAGCAAGGAAGTATTGGTTCACAAAACGGTTCGTTGAGTTCGTTCAGTACACATCAAAGGAGCTCGAAATCTATGTCGTTCTCGAACAAACGATCGAGTCGACGACTAAGAAGACAATCAAGCAGATTGACGCTCTCTCTAAGTAACACCCAGCACACGAAATCCCCATATATGACACCCGTTGAAAATCGATCTTTGGTCGACGACAAAGTCCAGATTGAAGCACAACAAGGTGATCCCGCGGTCCAATTGGTTGGATGGGATACCGATATAGAAGCTAATTTCCCAAGCGTACCTGATACAGAAGAAATGACGGAAGCTCAAGAGAGATCCGTAATTTTCCATGAAACACTTGCGGCATTTTCATCTTTAGAGAACATCGACTTCCTAAGGGACTTGCCACTCAGTAGATCGGAGGAAGTGCCGAAACCTACTTCATCATTGATGTGGCGTCAGCTAATTGCGAACTGGAAACATTCTGAATCATGCAAAGCTATGTTGGCACGACCGTCTTCGATTCAACTGTCAAAATTGACAAAAGATGTAGGATTTTTCGGTGTTGATGACGATTTTTCTTCTTCCATGTCCACCATTCAGTTTCAATTAGACTCTGGCAACGTATTCTTTTCGAATGATTTTGTTTCTTCACGTGCTTACTCTTTGTTGAGATTCACAAATGCCGATAATTATTGTGAAGCTGATGAGGGTTTTTTGGTTTTAACAAGATACCTTTGTGATATCGGTCCTGGGACTTCTTCATCCGAAGAAAAAAAGAAAAGTACGGCGGAAGAAGAGCTGTTGCAACATAGTTTGTCAAAAACACTCGAAAATAACGAGCACGGATGTACCATCGGTATCACAGAAATT